TGCTTCTTCGACCAGTTTGTCGGTTTTCGCTTGTAAGTCTTCGATTTTGTGTGACATCAAACATAAGTCATCCGCAAAATCCAGGTCTTCTAGGTTCTTCACGTCGGTCCAGGATATCCCTGTCTTCTCGTTTCCCACTGTCTGACGCATAATCCAGTCCACCACAATTAGGAATATCATTGGTGATAATAAGCACCCTTGTCTGACTCCTGTGTTTACTCCAAAAGCCTCGCTGAGCTTTCCGTTGTGGATCACTTGACATGTGCCGTTGTCGTACAGTTGTTGGATAAGGTTGATGAATATTTGGGGTACGCCGTAGTACTCGAGTAGTTTCCAAATTACTTCGCGGTCAACGCTGTCGAAGGCCTTCTCAAAGTGTATGAAGTTGAGGTAGAGATTTGATTGCCATTCCATGCTTTGTTCGATGATAATGCGTAGAGTTGCAATTTGGTCAGAACATGATTTGCCTTTCCTGAATCCAGCTTGTTCTGGTTGGAGTTCTGTGTCCAGTGCGTCCTTGATTCTCTCCAGGATGATGCGACTCAGCATTTTACTTGGCGTCGACAGGAGCATGATTCCTCGCCAGTTCTTGCAGAGTCCCAGGTCGCCCTTCTTTGGTAGTTTCACAAGGTAACCTTTCCTCCAGTCAGTAGGCACCTTTCCCTCTTTCCAGATCTTTTGCAATAATGGAGTTAGCATATCTGCCGTCGTTTCTGGGTCCGCTTTCAGTGCTTCCGGGGGTATTCCATCTGGTCCAGCTGCTTTTCCAGCTTTCAGAAGCTTGATTGCATTCATGACTTCAGTTTTCGTTGGAGGATTGGTGTCAACTTGCAGTTGTGTACGTGCTGTTGTTGCTATTAATGGACGGGTTGTAGGTGGTGGTCGATTCAAGAGTACTTTGAAGTGGTCCGCCCATTGTTTAATCTGTCTTTCTTCTTTGGTAATTGGGTTCCCTTGGCTGTCTTTTATAGGTTTCACTTGTGTAGATCTCTCGGATAGAGACTTGGTTATCTGATATAGTGTCCTCAGGTCCCTTTTGCCTGCTGCCTTCTCAGCTTCAGTAGCCAGGTTGTCGTAGAATTGTCTTTTGTCCTTCCTGGCACTATTCTTCACTTCTTTGTCCAGTGCTGTGTAAGTTGAGCTCAGCTTCTCTTTCTCTTGTCCATCTTTGCATTGAATCATTTTTTCTTTCACCTTTCTGCTCTCCTCTATTAGCTTCCAAGTGTCTGTTGAGAGCCATTCCTTGTCTTGTTTCTTCTTTCTTCCTAAAACCGTTGAGCATGTTTCGTTGAAAATTATCTTCAGAGAGTTCCAATGGTCTTCCACGGATGATTCCTCAGTGGTGCCACGTAGTGTTTCCTGCTTTGCTCTGACAGTTGCAGTGAAAGTGTCCTTTGTGGTTGTGTCTTTCAGTTTTTGCGTGTTGAACTTGCTTTGTGGCCTATCCCCAGCTATCCTCGAGGCTTTCAGCTTCACCTTGAAAGTCCCTTGTACTAGATAGTGGTCTGAACCCACATCTGCTCCTCTCCTCGATCTTGTGTCAAGTAGGCTCCTTCTCCACTTCCTTGAGATTGAAATGAAGTCTATCTGGTTTTTGGTGTGTCCATCTGGTGAAATCCATGTTGCCTTGTGTATATCCCTGTGTTTGAACACACTGCCACCAATCACCAAGTCATTGAAGGCGCAGAAGTCTGAGAAGAGTTCGCCATTTTCGTTCATTTCACCGAGGGCCTCACGACCCATGGTGAGTTCTCTTCCTGTATTGTCTCCTCCCAGTTTCGCATTCATGTCGCCCATCATGCTTCCACCTAAAAAGTGAAATCTTTCCGTAGTATGGTTACACAGCTTAAATGTCATACCTACTTCTGAAAGTTGGCAGCTTGCCGTATTAAGTCTTATCATTATTATCAACATTTTGTAAACTGACAAAGACTTCTGCTTTTTTCTAACATCTTTGACAGACAAAGAAAAAGAAAGTGGGTGTACTGATTAAATGTACGGAATTCTATGCCGTTGTAGTTATTAACTGTGATTAAGATCAATATTTTGGGGACTCGATTCAACTACTCAGTATGAGTAGTGTATCTGAACTATCTCAATCGATTAAGGCTTATATTCGCTTCCTAACATTTCTTGTCAGCTCAACGTTACTTATGTATTTCACAGTTCAGTTAGATAATGCAATTCACATTTGACTGGAGTTATTCAAATATTCTTACAATTATCAACTTTTTCGTCTGAAAAAGGAGTGTGCGCACATCCTTATTCCTGATATAAACTAAACCAGTCACCATATTAGTTTGTTTATTAGATATATCACACAGTATTATTTACTGGATGACGTTTCGAACAAAATTTATTGTTCATAATCATATCAATTATAAACACATGACTTCGAAACTTGAGTTTTATAGTTTTCTTCATCCTCTCCTATTCGTCGTCGTTGGGGTAGTAGAATTTTCCAGATGTCCGTGTGAACAGGTATTGAATCATTCCTATTACACGTGTTTGCAGCTGGTTTGACAACACCAACAATAAGGAATCTATATCATCAGTAGTAATTCCATATAAATAAGGAACGTCGGAAACCTTACGCAGAATTCTTAACAAGGCAGGAATAAAAGTGACTAGCATTCAAACCACCTAAAAACTCAATTAGGAACACGCTTTGTCAGTTAATACATCCTGCCAGTGGAGCCAATAAAACAAAACAATTCAGTTTATCTAATACCCTGTCTGAAATGGTTGTCAGGTCAAATACATAGGTCAAACTAGTAGAACAGGGGCACTCAGACTAGCCAAACATAAAAACCCAGCGAAATCTAGATTTGTTGACCTGAATAAGATAAGAAATCTGGAGAATAGTTCAGCCATAGCACTACATGCACACAACCATACAATAGAATGGGATAAGATGACACTTTTGAAATCTAATGTCACATAATGGAGGAAGAGATTGATAACAGAAGCTTTGTTTATCGAATCAACTGTAAACACGTGTAATAGGAATGACTCAATACCTATCCCAGATATCTGGAAAATTCTACTACCCCAACGACGACAAATAGGAGACAACAAGGAAAACTATAAAATTGAATGGAAAAACTATAAAACTCAAGTTTCGAAGTCGTGTGATTATAACTGATATGGTCATGAACATCATCTAGTTTTCTTTATTCCTTCACGTTCCCAGTGGAACATAGGGCTTCAAGCTAGAGGCTTGAAGTTCCTGTAGCAGTCGTGATTATTTTTACAGGATGGGGATGCTAACCTCATGCCCAACCTTTACTCTTTACCAGCTACATTTCTGGCTTAGCGAGGTAGAGGATTCGTTGGCCGGGAATCAAACCCTCAACCATGTGGATGGTCTGCGAGCATCCTAACCATTGTGCCACCGACCAGTGAATAATACTGTTTCACTGTGTGACACATCTAATAAACAAACTAATGTGGAATTACTTACTACCACAGTGCCCAAGTTTTACACATATATAAACCAGTCACCCTTTTTTGCCCAGCAGAAAAATACTTCCTAAGACATTTTAGTTATATATTGTAAAATCAGTTACAAGTGACAATACTGAACACCTTTATGAAAGCTGTTTGTTACCATTAGTTCAAATGATATCTTTCCGTAAACTTTCACAACTCTGCATACGTATAAGTCGGGTGTTTTGCTTGCAAGTTAGAAAATATCATAACCTTTGACTGACTGACTGACGAGTTTCAGCATAAAATTTTGCACAGAAGTTCACCAGGTCGAGTTGCCAATCTCCATGTACCACACAAAGTAAGAGAAGAGTGATAATGAACAGAAATATGAGGCAAAAAGAATAGTAATATGGAAGAACAATAGAGTTTTATTGGATATGACAAATCACAAAGGGTGAATACATCTACGCCAGCTAATGAGAAGGATTTTCAGCTATATCACCAATTGTCTCCAGCCTCCATTGGTTCTTACCATGCCGAAAACCCCAAGCAGTCAGGAAGTCTACACCCCCCCTACATGACTGTCTTAAAGTAACTGTCATGGATTTCATTGACTGATGAAGCCATGTTTTGTTCTGACCACCACTAGCCCTCTCTTTTCCAACCTGATCCTATGTTAGTCAGCTAACATTGCCCGCTGGTCGAGGAAGGCGATGGCTAGGCATGTGCAACACATGTTCTAACCATTTCAGTCGGTATAACTTCACAGCTTCACATCGTAACCTTTGCTTCTATGGGAGACTTTATATTTTACCATCTTGCTCTGGATGAGTATCACTGTCTTGTTCGGATCAGTGTGTACACAACTGTCTTAATTTATAGCTGTCAAAGCCATGGAAGTTGATTTCTTGATGTGCCTGAAGAAGGGCTTGTTCCGCATCATCACAGTACTCAAGGTATATATATATATATATATATATTTAAAGCTTATCTCATACGGCTTGTTTAAATGTTAAAAGCTGTGGAGTTGTGCTCATACAAAAGCCTTCACCATCAATTATATCTGGCGTATGGCAAGTCAGAATCTGCAGTTTTTGTTACCAGCCTTTCCCAACTCATTACTATGGGAAAGTATCATTGCTGGCGCTTAGTCGTCTTCGCAAGGGGACACTATACCCTTAAAATCCAAAACTTCTTTATAGTGCTAGCGATTCACATCACAATGGTAAACAGTTTTATTTTCGCAGTTATACATCCTATCATTTGGGCTTACTAGGACCCATGAAGACAAACAATATAGCTCGAGTTCATTTCAGTATGCAACCCCGAATCCCTCTATGTGATATTTTAATTTTTATGCAAATCAAATTGAGTAGTAGATTAGGTTATTTCAATATATATATATTGACTAGTATTTTATAATTGATCGCTTGGCCACTCTTGTCAATGTTGATACAACTTTTTAAGTCGTTTTTCCGACGTGCATAAAAGTAATCAATATTCTCTTCCTTTATTTACTTTCAATATCTTTAATTTAACATTATTGTGATGCTCTTTTAGGCTTGAAAATGAAGAGATCTGATGATATGGATCGAAATTGGCTATATTATCTCGCTCAACCAACTAAATTAGCGCTGGATATTGAAGAACTAACCGTATCACACAAATTGGAACTACTTAAACAAGCCTTATCACAAGCTGAAATTAGCGAGAGAAAAACCAATCTCAATAATTCTGAAAATGGTTCCTCAGACAACTTCTCTACAGAAAATGAGGCAGTACATCCAGACGACGTATTCACAGAGTCATCAAAATTGTTTAAAAAGTCAAAAGTGTTGGATATACTGTCCTTACAGATTGCTGCAAATCTAAAATTCAGTTTAAACTTGTTTCGAGTAGTGTCAGAGATGCCTACAAAGCTGTATGCACGTTTGTATAGAGTGTTGGTCACGTATACTGCAAAATTTTCTGAAATTCTTCAACCACAATTTGAACAGGCAATGAATAAAGAAAATATTTTCATCATAAATCCGTATGGTTATTTCACATGGTCTCAGTTGAATCCTGTAACAATTTATGGTATAATGTCTTACCATATTTGGTGCCTTCATGTACGTTCACTCATTTTTATAATGTAAAATATTATTTAGGTTTCTCTTACATCAAGTATGTTGCCGCAACCGTTTCGAAATCTTACTCCAATTGTTTCTGGTTTAACTGAAGTACCCGAGGTAACATTTTTTGCTGATAATCGTGTTGAAGTTGGTGTTATTCTTACACGTATACAAGAGTCGGTAAATCAGTTGAATGAGATCAATGATCTGTTAGAAGATATCAGTATAGCCAGACCTCTTTCATCAGTATTCTCAACAACAGAGTCGATATTTTCTGTTTTTGGTGAGGTGTCAAATCAAGAAGACCAAAATTCAAACTTGTCAGATTTTGTTTTACAGAATTCAGAACCTCTTTCCAGAAGTTATCTTTCTGCATCACTGAATTTTGTACTGGGACGTTATGCTTTTCAACAACAGGAGTTCCATCGATCACAAGAGCTTCTTCAAAAAACCCTCAATGAAATGCAATCTCAAAATGTATGTTAAGTACATAGTTATTTCGAAATAATTCTTATCTACACATTTATAAAAGTAATGTTTTGAATTACTGATTCAAACGTTACTGTTCTCCTTATGACAGTTTAGTGTTCAAGTTAGATGATGCTTACTTTAATGCTTGTCTTTCCACTCTTAGAGACGTGGTTCATTGGCTTAGGCACAAGACTTTCGATCAGTGGATTCCTGATTCGAGTTCCACTTCAGCTTGGGCAACTGAGTAGCATCATTATCCTTCACACAATGAGTGTAGTTCATAATCCCCACGCAGTACTGAGCATCCACCGTATGAAAGGGGTCTTTGTGGTAAACAGATCGTTTGTCTGATGTCACAGTAATTAAGAATTTGAGATCACTGATCCTTGAGTAATTAATTATTTTCATAGAACAATGTCTTTGTTGAATTCTATACGAGGAAAATAAAGTGTTAGGGTTTGAAAGAACTATGCAAAACATTACTGTCTCACTGAGGTTGTGACAGAATTAATCAAATTGTGAAGCCTATGAACATTATTCAACAAGATCTGCAGTATGTATGTGTATGAAAATTTGAGAAATTTTATAGTCATAAGAGTGAAAAAATAAAATTATTTGGAGAGCAGTTTCGTAACATATGAACACTAATTGATGATGAACATATGTTATCAGCGAAAATTTTTTTTCAAGTATTGGTTTGAAAAGATTTTGCTTTATTGGTTGGAGGATTTGATCATGAGCTGACACATCAGTTAGATAACCATTGGAAGACCTGCATGGAGTGCTGAACAGCTGTTTCGTCCTAGTTCGGGGCTCTTCAGAAGTACGTGCCCACCGGGGTTCGAACTCGGGACTTTCTGGTTACAAGGCGAGCTCGTAGACCATTAAGCCACTGGGACCCGATCCAACGGCCCACGAATTCCAACTTCTGCCAATTCACCACGTTGGATCGGGTCACAGTGGCTTAATGGTCTACGAGCTCGCCTTGTAACCAGAAAGTCTTGAGTTCCAACCCCGGTGGGCACGTACTGCTGAAGAGTCCCGAACTAGGACGAAACAGATGTTCAGTACTCCATGCAGGTCTTCCACTGGTTCTCTAACTGATGTGTTAGCTCATGATGAAATCCTCCAACCAATCAAACAAAATCCCTACAAACCAATACTTGAAATATTGATGTGATGCTCACTAGCTATTGGCCCTATTCAGGGTTCTAGTGGGAAGTCGTGACCAGTAGGGCACAGCAGGTCGAAAGTGAGGACAGTTACTCATCGAAGAAGACATTGCTAAGTGGTCGCGCTATTTCGTGAAAAAACTTTTTATCGATAAGTAGCTGTAATTTATTTATCGTGGGATGTGCATTTCAGTTGTGTAGAGTCAATCACTTTACACTGAACGTCTTCAGGCACCTTAGTCTTCGGGTATACATATAAAATTATATAGTGACAGGATAATTCTCATCGCAGTAGTCAGGTCTGTTGTTTTAATTTACATCAAACTAACTGTCTAGTTGAAACAACAAAAATGGAAGTATGTACAAACTTTTGATCAAGTTCGAACTTTGGGACTTACAATATGCAAGTTTGACAATGGATTGATATCAGTTAGAGAACCATTGAAAGCCAGCAGGGAAGTACTAGACAGCTGTCTCGTCCTAGTTTCGGACTCTTCTACACTAGTAACCAACACGGATGTCGAAACAAGGACCTCCGGGTTACAAAGCGAGCTCGTAGACCATTCAGCCACTGGGGGATCCTTTTCAAATGACCCATGAATTCCAACTTCTACCAAGTCGTGATGATTTCAGCGCGACTGACACCAGCCGATGTCATCGTTGGCGATTATTCGTCCTCACACACGACCTGATGGACGACTCCACTGGTTACGACTTCTCACTAGAACTCCAAGTAACTTTGTCTTGTAGTCAGCCAGTCAATGGTGAGCACCAGATTGATTTTCAAGAGTTAGTTTGTAGGGATTTGATTTATTTTTTCAAGTTTGACGGCGGATTAATATCAGTTGGAGAACCAGTGATATTAATCCTTGGTTAAGCTGGGAAACAGCAACAACAACAACAGACAACAATCAGCGTAAATGGAAGGAACCTGAAAGGAACAACCTCTTTTACCTACCTACCTGGGAAGCATCGTTTCAACTGCAGGCACATGGAACTGACGAGGATATCAAAGCAAGAATCGGAAAGGAAGACAAGCTTTCACTAGTCTCAGGTCTGTGTGGAGGTCAACAGCACTCAGCATCAAAAATAAGATCCGGATTTCCAACTCCAATGTGAAGCCAGTCAGTGCTACTATACGGATCAGAGACTTGCACTGCGCGTCATAAAGAGCATCTCAAACAAACTACAGTCCTTCATTAACAGTTGTCTCCGCTCAATACTCAATATCAGATGGCCAGAAAAGATCAGCAACAGGGATCTCTGGGAGCGAACCAACCAGGAACCGATTGTGAAACAAATAGGCAGGAAGAAATGGAGATGGATTGGCTGGCCATACTCTGAGGAAACCATCAAGTGACATCACTAGACAAGCCATTGCTCGAGTGGAACCCGAAAGGGAAGCGGCGAGTTGGTCGTCAGTGCAAGGGTGACTTAGGAGGTCATGTGAAGAGGAGATGAAAACGTGTGGGTAGACCTGGAGCCAGGTGAAGACTCTAGCAGAGAACCGAACGCAATGGAGACGCACGGCTGAAGCCCTATGTTCCTCTAGGAATTAAAGGAAACAATAATAATAATAAGCTTGAAGTAAATCAAACTCCTATAAATTAACTCTTGAATAAAGAATTATAGTATAATATAACAATAAACTTGTAATTTTATATGGTTGTCAACGCTTATCTCATTCAATACTTATTAAACTAATAATCTGTAATTATTTTTATGAATCTTTATTTCAATCGGTATTTATCTTTCCGTTTCCATTTCCTTTTCTAGTTTACTTACCTGAATGAGACTGGAGCTACACCGAAATTAGTACAGGCCTACTTAACTGCATGTTTATCATATACGCCTGCCGCAGCACACATTTCAGACAACGCCTCAATTCCTCAATCTGACGATGATGATGAATTTTTACAATATTTTTGTACAGAACTAGAAAAGTGTTCTGCATCATTAGAAGTAGTGAATAAAAATCAAGTAATAAATATATTTTGGACTCAAATATGGAATTCTGTTGACAGTGTCAAATCAGAGGAGTCTTCTGATAAAAAACAACTACTCACAATTGAAGACCACCTGTATGAAATTCTACTCAAAGGATTAATTCCTGTGAATGATGATGATTCTTCTAATTCTAATGCATATATTCCGATTAGTTTAGTAGTTCGTCATAAGTTAGAGAATTTATGTTTAAAACTGTTGAATGCTTATAATAATAATAATTTACTGATGAATTCAACTGATACAACCAATACAGGAGTTGTACAATCTACAAAGCATACAAAACAGGCTAAGTTGTCGTCCCTTGATGATGATGATGATGATGATAAAATATCAGATTTCAATGCTGCTGTACACCAACTTTTCACTAAGGTATGTAACAAAACTTGTGAGTAAAGTAATAATGTTTTTCCCCTTAAATTTTAATTTGTTTGAACTAGCCTGTAAGTATCTTTACTATAAAGTAGAGTGGATATTCTGTCTGTTTTCAACATAGAACTTTGCATCGATGTGCAGCAGTTCAAGTCGCCACACTCCATGTAGCACACAAAGCACGAAAAGAAAGTAGAAAAAATGAAAAATAGAGAAAGTAGACAGGGATATGAGACAAAAGGAATAGTAATAACGAAGAACAACATAGTTTCATTGGAAATTATAAGTCACATGGAGTGGATGCATCTGCGCCATTGAGAATGATTTTGAGTCATATCACCGATTGTTTCCAGCCATCCGTCCGTCCCGAGGACCCCAACCAGGAAGTCTACATCTTCCTACGTGGAGCTTAAACTAACTGTTGTGGATATCATTGACTGATGAAGCCATGTTTTGGTTTGACCACCGCTAACTCTTTTCCAGCCTGACTCGATGTCAGCTAACATTGCCCGTCGAGGAAGGCGATGACTGGGCATACGTAACACATATCCTAACCATCTCAGTCGATGTAACTTCACAGCCTTGTCGATTGATTTCCCCTCCTTACCTAGCACTCAACCGGTGCCTAACCTCAGTATTGCTCACCCTATTATATCACTTTCACACGGGAGACAGAACACAGACACCTATGATCAAAGACAGCTAGCCTTTTCATGTCTTCCACTCTCAATGGCTAGGTCTCACAGTCAACCATAAAGGAGGACGGAGCGGACTGCTGAGCAGTACACACGCCCTTTGGTCGATAGACGGCCGGATATCACGTCTACGCCAGAGACGACGTAAACTGGCATATGCGAAACTAGCCCTCTGTATCCGTGCTGAGATTTCGTCAACGACCAACCCGTTGGTGTTGGCTGGTGCGACTTCGCAGCTAGGAGTGGATATTGTTGACTCACGACTTATTTTTGGTTTAGAAGAACACTACTTGAGTCGTCTATAGCTAGATTTGCTTCCTGATTTTCTCCGGAATTCTTGTATGGTTGGAGTATGACGTATGTATGTATATACTTCAAAGTCAAACAAGGGCGAAAGTATTAGTCCCTACCGACAGCTGCTGCATTGATGTGATGGTCTGGCTTGCATTTCACAATGATACAACAAGCTACACTGGCTGGAACTAATATCCCTATAGGTCGTACCATGTCAGTAACATTGTTTGGATAGGGATTAGACTAAAAGCAGTTACCGTCATATTGTGATTAGTGTAGGCTATGCTGAGGAGTGGGTGGGTGGGTCTATGGGCGAAGTCGTACTGTTGCTGGCGAATAGGGATATAACAACGGTAAGGTGTTTCCCTTAGATGATCAGCAAGCCAGCTAGCTATGCTGTCTCTCCACTCTAGGGACGGGGAGGGGTGTAAGAAGAGGTCAACCCCACAAATTATGCATCCCAACTTACCTTGAGGTGGTCCGTAGCCAGCGATAAGATATTAACACGGACACAACTCCAAAAATCAATTCAAACAAACTGTGTGTGTGCGTGTGACCGACATCAAGCAGCTGTCCTATGGCCTACTCGTTGTTGGAATCAAAACAGGCTATATTTCCATCTAAAGTGAAAGATAAAAGTTCATTCTAAGTTGATTGTTGGGAGCGCTGTAACACCATAATTGTGTATGAAAACGGATAACATTAAGTTTATGCTGTTCGGTTGTCTAATTGTAGACTTTAACTATAGTACGGCATGTTAAATGAATACTTTTCCTATTTCAAATATCCAGTAAATAATTCATTGACTTGAACTTATCCAGTTATTTAAATACATGCGTTGAAGAAACTAAATACATCAATTATTTCGCTTCACGTGTTTGAATTAATTTCGTCCGAATTTTGATTCCGGATTTATATCAGTTAGAGAACCATTGAAAACCAGTGAGTCACAGTGAGTACTGAACAGCTGTTTCGTCCTAGTCTGGGACTCTTCTATGATCAAACTTGTAACAAATCAAATTCCTACAAACTAACTCTTGCAAATCAATCTGGTGCTTGCCATTGACTGGCTGACTACACGACAGAGTTGCCTGAAGTTCTAGTGAGAAGTCGTAACCGATGGGATCATCCACCAGGTCGTGTGTGAGGACAAATAATCGTTAACGATGACACTGGCTAGTGTCAGTGGCGCTAAAATGACGAATTGGTAGAAGTTGGAATTCTTGAGTCATGTGAATAGGGTTTCCCAGTGGCTAAATGGTCTACAAGGTTGCCTTGTAACTGTGAGGTCTTTGTTTCGAACCATGGCAGTGGGTTCGTACTGTCGATGAATCACAGACCAGAACGAAACAGCTGTCCAGTACTTCCCTGCTGGTTTTCATTAGTTCTCTAACTGATATTAATTCATGACCAAGCTTGGAACAAATCAAATCCCTTCAAGCTGACTCTTCTAGGATGATAACATCACATTGGCCAAATGACACTGTACTAATTTTTAGTAGTTCTGCAATCAGTAGTGTTCTCTGAGCTGATTGGTTCAGTTGCGAAGCTTTCATCTTCCTTCTGGATAACATCTTCAGCGCAATTTTCAGCATAAAGTGAAGTGATTTAAATTTTCCATCAGTGTTAGAATTGCGTCTCCTGGTAACTATCTTTACATCTGTACTGATAAGTTTTTAGTGACTTTGATTTTAAACTTCCTCGTCACATGATTTACTTTTTATTACTTGGTAGATTTGGTCTATATTAACATGTTTGTTAGTCGCATATTCGTTTGAGCACCAGGTTTCTAGGAATTCTTTGATTGCACTTTTGGTGTTTCTTCTGTTTAAAATTTCGACATTATCCCAATCAAACTGATGTTCATAACTATCTACACGCATTGATATGAAACAATATATGTCATATCTTTTCACAGCTTATTTGTGTTCCTGGATTCTGATTCGAAGGGGACGCCCAATCTGGCCATTTCATGCAGTAAAACAACCCAACATGACCTTATCTAGTTTTCGTATCCACCATGAAATTTCTTTCCTGTTATAAAACTACAATAAGACTGCTAAAAAAATGTAATGAATATATCACTGATCTCAACATAATACATAAATAAACTTCAAGTCAAGGATGCTGTTCACAACAAAGTTATATAGGAGAATTGACTTCAAGCTTTATTTTTCCCAGATATTTGCATTACATTCATCTGATGTCTGGGTTTTTTGTTAATGCGAAGACAATATTTCTATATCTCTTTGTGTTACACAGACAGACTATTTAGCAGACTGTTATGACTGACTCTAATATCAGAAAGAACAAACAAACTGCAAATTCACTATACATCGAAATATGTGTAAATTTATATAATAACTGATCCATGCCTGTACAATTGGTATGTTCCTGCATAAACAGGAATATATATATATATATATATATATATATATCTGTTACAATTCATACAATTTATTTTGTAAATGGTATTAATTATACCTTCTTTTGCTGTTGGATCTTTCGGTTTGCACAATATCGAATGAAGTGATTTCAGAGATACTCTTCTTTATGTGTGGTGGGATGAGTTTTCCAGAAGTTGTTGATGATGGTTTCTTGTTAGTGTTGTCACTCGACTTTAAACACTTTTTGATGAAATTGTGGGGATATCCATTCTTTTTGAAGACAATCAGTAGGTATTTTTCTTCCATTCTTTTCAACGCTGGAGTGCCACAGTATGTCTGAACTCTTTTAAACAATATCTGCACACAGTTTCTTTTGTGGGTAATTGAGTTATTGCTACTATAGTTGAGTATTTGATTTGTGTGCGTTAATTTTCTGTATAATTTTGTTTCTAAGTTCCCTGTGTTAGTGCTCCTGATTAAGACATCTGAAATTGAGATTTTGTTATCTAGTTGTTCTTCTCTTGTGAATTCGATTTCTTCATATATGTTGTTAATTAGTTTATGGATATATTCCAAATCATTTCTTTTAGTTATTGCGAATGTATCATCAACGTAACGTACCCTGACTTTGAGTCTAATTATGGTTAGAGCTATTGATTCTAATCTTTGCATGACGGCTTCAACTATTAATTCTGATATGATCGATCCCATTGGTGTTCCTTTTATCTCTTCTTGTATTTGAGTACTGAATCGGAAGTCTGTTGTAAGACAATTCCATGAGGTCTACTGAAGTTGAAGATCGCGTTTTTTATGTTTTCATCACTGCAGAGTAATGGTTGCATAGATTTTGTTGCTAGTTTTGGACTAATTGAAGTATATGATACTGTTACATCAAAGGACACCATGTTTTAATTATCTTCCACTTGAATGTTTTTGATTTTCGGCAACAGTAAAGAATAGACACCAACTTCAGACGACCTTGAAACAGCCTATCAGATTCTTCTAGGTGAAAAGTGGTACTTAATTTACAGAGAAGTGTATCTACGATATATATATGTAATAAAATTGAATCATATAAGGTATATATCTCTAATATGCTGCGAAAACTGGTCCCAGATTCTCATAGAAGTGGTTATAGACATATCAAACCAATGTATTTTTTATTTCTCCAGCTGTAGCCGATACTCGGCGCATATACGCAATATATTACTAAGGGAGAGCTTTAATTTCGAGAAAAAAGTGTCTAAAACAAATCACCAATTATGTACGACTTACCAGCTTATACAGACTTCCTCATATAAAGTGGTTGCATCTGAATGTATAACCATCAATAGCCCGGCAATACTTTTCCAGAGTTATTATCCCTCCACATATGCATGTTTTATTCCTCCCTATCAACACATTATCTACAGAGAAGTCAAAAACCAAATCTAGGAGACACTTTCAAAGAGGATTATGACTAGGAACCATTTGTAATGCTGAGCTATCTGATTGGTCAAATCAAGGTCATTTAACTTTGGTGTCTGTTGTTTACTCTTGCCTGATTTTCTCCGAAAAATTCGATTGACCAATTGATAGAATGGTCGCATGATTCTGTTAGGTATTTTAATTTCCACAACTTAACTAACCAGCTCAGAGAACACTACTAATTGCAAATCATTCACCTGAGCTACAAATCTTCTCTATTATTTTTTACTAATTCTCTCATGCTGCTTGATTACTTTTTTGTTTTTTGTGTGTTGCTTCCTTGCATTTATTTTTCTAGATATATGTATGCAATTCAATTGAACGACTAATGTTCAATTCTGTGGAACATCCACTTATACTGGTAACAGAATTATTAATAAATTTTGACAAAGAATCGACAAAGAATCAACTCAACAAATCAACGTCATCATCATCATCGGTGTTTCATATAGACGCTATAAAAGGACGTGAATTTCTATTCGACTGTTTAACCACTTTAATGCAAAGGCTGTCGTCAAGCGTAAAAAATTATTCCACCTCTAACCAATACCTTATTATTTGCCAGTATATCACTTTTCTAGTACAAGAAGGGATCTGTTCACTGGGCAGTTTATCAATGATGAATCAACTGCATTATCATAAAGAGAATTCTTATCTGCTTACAGTACAAAAGAATTTTCAGGATTTATTAGAAACACTTGTATCTCATAAACTGGTACGTTGAACAATACTTACTTGCTTACTTACTTACTCACTTAATAATTTATTCCTTCACGTTCTGAGTGGAGCATAGATTTTCAAGCTTAAGGGTTTGAAGGGTGGGAGGTTGTTTTTTTTTATTACAGCTTGATGCCACACCGTATTTTCAGTACAAGTATGAAATTCAGCATGATAGTGACGGATCATGTGATGGTCGGTGAGAGTCCTAACCACTGTGCCACCGACACACAAAGTGGTGTCAGGAGTGGGATTCGAACGCACGCCCACAAAGTGGACTGCCTCACCCACCCAACCTTCTCTGTTTCCTGGGCTTACTACCAGGCTAGGCGAGGGTTGGCAGTGCATCAGACGGGAATTGTGAACCCTTGACCACTGTGTGTGTTGTGGTTAGCGAGCATTTCACCTCTGTACCGCCGATGCACGTTGAACAATGAAATTGGACGTGTGAAGTTATCATCTCACTTTTGATGTATTTTACAGTGTTTTCGTTTACTTTGTCATATTTAATAAATACTTTTAAAAGTCATTAGTAATAAGAGTTTAAAGTGCAACACGTCTGGTTATATTTGAAACTGTCTTACAGATTATTTGTATATTAGGTCGTCTAATACCACCACTCCCACTCTTCCAGCCGACCAACCCCTCCCTCCTGATGTGTGGTTGTATAATAGCTATCACATTCTCCAAATTATTTTTGTCATTTTTCTGCTATTGTGTTCCAAACACACATTAAGACTTATGCTCCCCCCCCCATCCCTTTGCACTTCACGATAGTGATGCGTCCGTCTAGTGACATCCTGCTATCAACCAAGGGACGTGTGTACTGCTCAGCAGTTCGCTCCGTCCTTCTCTATGGCTCTGAAACATGGCCAATACGAGTTGAAGACATGAAAAGGTTGACTGTTTTTGATCATAGATGTCTACGATCTCTTTCTCACATTAGGTGGTATAATAAGGTAAGTAATGTTGACGTCAGGCGTAGAGTGTTGGGCAAAGAGGGAAAATCAGTCGAAGAGGCTATAAAGTTACATAGATTGAGATGGCTTGGTCACGTGCTGCGCATGTCTAACCATCGCCTCCCCCGATGGGAATGACTAGCTGATATAGGTGCTGGTTGGAAAAGAGTAAGTGGTGGCCAAACAAAAACATCGCATCAATCAATCCATGAAATGCTTGACAGTTAAGCTGGGTCAGGTAAGGAGATGCAGACTTCCGGGTTGGGGCCCTCGGGACTCTAATAATCAATGGCTGGAGACAATAGGTGACATGGCTCAAAATCGTTGTCAATGGCTTATGCAGATGTATTCAGTCTCTGTGATCCTTCATATTCTTTTCTACCATTACTCATTCTGTTTCACTCTTATACTTATCAAAACTCTATTGATTCTCTTCACTCATCTTCTTGTCTACCTTTGTGTGCTATTTGGAACGTGGCAACTGGAACTGCTGCACTTCGGTGCCGAGGTCTATGTTGAATCCAGACAGAGAGAGTCTAGTGAGATTCATAGTCTTAGCCGAGGTATACAGCACTTAAACTCAACTAAATTTAAGTTGACGGTCACTTTCACAAACTGTTTAATAATCTAGTGATCATTTATATTTATCATATCATGCATACCAGTTTTATAATCTCCATTCCTGGCATGGAAAAATAACTGCGAGGAGGAATCGTGTGAAAAATAAGGATTTCCATGAAGGATTTGTGTGACTTTTTAAAGTAGAAGTCAACAGTTCAGATGTGGATATACTACGAGGGATGGTTTAAATATGTATGTGAATATACTAAGTGGTGGTTCTTTCAGAATTTCATTCTAATTAATAGAATATCATAGTTGCCTATCATATCTGCGCGTAAAATAACCACTAATTTCTAACCAACCACTGGTATCGTTTTCGAGATATAAAGAAGGCCATTAACTTAGTCACCGACCTACCTGTACTTAACAGTAAATAATTTCAACAAGAGAGAGAGAGAGAAAGTCAGTAGGGCACTGCAACATGTACATCATGCATTCAACTGAAGATTGCACATGATTGACCTCTGCTTATCAGAAATACAATAATGATAATCTGTCAGAACAGGTAGTCGAACCTTAAAACGTTACTGGCATAAACACCTCGTACCTGTTCGGCGTTTGTTGACACGTTTGGTTCCTATTCTGGATGCTGCAGAGATGTTTGAGGATTAACTGAAAGTAATTTTGGTGGATGGTGCGCATTTCGTCATCCTATTTGGAGCTCGTCGTCAGCTGGATGTACTTGCATTCCCCAGTGAGTGATGGTGTTTCCGCACAGAGACTCGAATCCAGTACCTATCGTTTCATACGCCAAAGCATTATCCACTAGACCGCTTAGGCAGAAAGTATTGATCCAATCAGTCAACGGGATAATGGAAATCAACTTAAAAACAAATAATAATTGGTCCCTGTTGCAAAAGAGAGTGGTTCTCATGGCCCAGGTGGTATGGTGGATAATACTTAAGAATTTGAAATAATGGGTACTGGGTTCGAGCCTCAGGTGGAACACCACCGCCCACTGAGAAATGCAGTTAGTTACATCCAGTTGATGATGAATTCCAAATAGGACGACGAAATAAATGCACATCCTGGATTCCACTGCTAGTCACTATCCATCACACCTTGCACAACTCCTTATCTGTCTATAGAAAAATGTCGGTGTGGGAGGGTGTATCTCAAAAACTTTGTTCGAATTAACGGGTGTACACAAATTGTCTTCTAGAAGGTTCAACGAATATTGAACAGTGAGAGCAGCTTTGATTTCAAGCACTAATCAGAAGAGAGAGAGAGCTAGGGCGATAATTATTTGAAGAAAAAGTAATAATAATAATTGAAAAAGTCAACTGGTGAAATTCAAATCACGAAAAATCGAATCATTGAGTCATTCATGCTACTGGAACAAAAGACAGAATAACTGGAAACACTTCAGTTGACATTTATGCAGATATCAACAATTCGATGAGTATTTCAGCTAAGTTCTTACTTACTTTATTTGAGATTTCGATGAACTGAAATAGTGTTGATCGCTTCTCGGCTCTCTGAGCTAAGATCATGAATTGTGCGTTGGTGGTATAGCGGTTAGGACGCTCGCTTACCATGCACATGGTCCGGGGTTCGATCCCCGGCCACCGATGCACTCCTTTACCTCGCTGAGCCAGAAATAATGCTGGTAAAGAGGAAAGGTTGGGCATGAGGCTGGCAAACCCCATCCTGTAAAATAAACACTGCTACAGAAACTTCAAGCCTCTAGCTTGAAGCCCTATGTTCCACTGGGGAACGGGAAGAAAAAAAAAGAAATAGTGTTGGGTCTTAGTACAGAAGCGCATTAGTTCCTTGAGATTCTGAAACACATCTTTTCCATCCATCGACGTCTTTTAATCAGTGTTTTTCTACAGACACAGCAACGACGTGAATTCCCTCTCGCCGCCCCGCCCCTCCCTGCTACATTTGAGTAAATCCACACTAGTTTTAGTTTTCATTGCCTTAGTCTCTTATACTTACTATTAAATTTATCACCCGTGGAAATCTTATACTATTTTTTTCCTTCACGTTCCCCAGTGGAACATAGGGCTCCAAGCTAGAGGCTTGAAGTTTCTGTAGCAGTGTTTATTTTACAGGATGGGGTTGCTAGCCTCATGCCCAACCTTTCCTCTTCACCAGCATTATTTCTGGCTTAGTGAGGTAAAGGAGTGCATCGGTGGCCGGGGATCGAACCCCGGACCATGTGCATGGTCAGCGAGCGTCCTAACCGCTATGCCACCGACGCACAAATTCACACAGTGATACACCCATTGACTGGGTATTGGTTTTCAGGAGAACCAAACACACCCATCCCTGCCTCTTGCGAGACGAGACTGGCATGCAGGATCATCCTGTGGCGCAACCACTCGAGAGCCCTCTCCCTCGGTGGAAATCTTATACTATAGACTTGCAATATATTTGTACAGCTCATAAGAATTCAACTTATCATTTATTTGCAGTGACTGCTTCTCAGGGATTTACTATTCTCTGTTGTGTTTCGTCTGTAATGTTATTGACTTCAGTGTACGTTAATCCACTTTGCATGTATATTTATATTTTTTTAAATATTTCTAGTGGGCATACCTACCAGTGGAGAATAGAAAATATATACAATCTATTTTGGAGGCAATAAGTTCTGCAAATTCATTTGACAATGATTCAGATACTGAGTATTCATGTTCTTTCAATCATAAATCCCTTGCTGATCTTCCTGATCCTGATTATGATCTGAGTTTTAGCCTGTCTACTCTGGATGGAGAGGATCTGTTTACACAAGGACCTGGATTTCGACTAAATCATGAGATTTCTTCATCTAAAGATCAAATTTCTGGATCATACAAATCATCACATATGCCTAAAGGGAATTCTCCATTTCAAAGTGTCGGTGATGTGGATATGCGTAATCTACCACAACAAATTCCATCCTTCTCTCATATACCCGCTGTGCAGCCTCATCCAATCACTGGACATGGATCTTTTACTAGTTCATCGCTTCCTGCGCTTTCCAGAGATAATCCACACGCGTATAAAATTCATGTAGTACGCCATCTTCTGTTAACACGTAATCCTACGGATGTAAATATGCTGGTGGACAATCTTTTAAGATTAGGTATGACACCAGATGAAATTTTAAAACTTAACGACTCATGGCTTTCATCTTTACATCTTTTGGTATCATTGGAAGTAGTTGGACTGCATGGTATTAGTGGAAATAATGTAAGTCGTCATTGAATTCTTTATTGATGGTTTATCTATGTGTAATATTTCTTGATTGCTATTACTGTCGGATTAATTTTTAATGCGAGTAAAGGTTGCTACGGGTATTTATCACCCTCGTGTTATCCGGCTATCGATCAAAGGACGTGTGTACTGCTCAGCGGGTTCTCTCCATCCCTCCTTATGGCTGTGACACATGGTCATTGAAATTGGGAGATATGAAAAGCCTAGCTAGTTGTCTTTAATCATAGGCGTCTGCGTTCTATCTCCCATGCTAGATGGTAAAATTGGATTCTTTTATTTTTTATTTTATTTTGATTTACAGCTTGATTCCACACCATATTTTCAGTACAAGTATGGAATTTTCAGCACGGATATCGGTAGCCCAAATTCAGGCCGACCATAGATATCGGGTGTGCGCCGGCAGGGGATCGAACCCCGGACCATGTGCATGGTCGGCGAGAGTCCTAACCACTGTGCCACCGACGCGTAGAGTGTTAGGTAAAGAGGACAATTCAATCGATAAGACGGATAACTAGGCTACGTGTTACGCATGCCTAGTCATCGCCTTCCTCAACGAGTAGTGTTAGCTGACATAGGATCAGGTTGGAAAAGAGCTAGAGTCGTGGTCAAACTAATAGAAAAAAATGGAATCAGTCCATGAAATCCCTGACAGTTAGGTTGAAGCAGTCACGCTGAGAGGTATAGGCGGCTTCGTGGTTGAAGTCTTAGGGATTCTAAGAGTCAATGTCTAAAGACTATTGGTGATATGGTTCAAAATCCTTCTCAGTAGTACAGCAGGTACATTCACTCTCTGTGATCTCCTGTATCCACTAAAAAGTCGTGTTTTTCCTTAGTACACTATTCTATCTCCCTCATATTTCAGCTTACTATGGTTCTTCTGAATCTCTTTTTTGTCTTCCTTTAAGCGCTACATGGAGTGTAGCAACATAGAACTGTTACATAGAAGTGCAAAGGTTCTGTGTTGAAACCAGCAGTCAGTCAGTCATTTATCACAGTAGATTTTCATGAATTCTCTACTAGGCAACAGCAAAGAATAGACACCAACTTCAGACGACCTTGAAACAGCCAATCAGATTCTTCTAGGTGAAAAGTGGTACTTAATTTACAAAGAAGTGTATCTACGATATATATGTAATAAAAATGAATCATATAGGGTATATATCTCTAATATGCTGCAAAAACTGGTCCCAGATTCTCATAGAAGTGGTTGTAGACATATCAAACCAATGTATTCTCTATTTCTCCAGCTGTAGCCGATACTCGGCGCATATACGCAATATATTACTAAGAGAGAGAGCTTTGATTTCGAGAAGAAAGTGTCTAAAACAAATCACGAATTATGTACGACTTACCAGCTTATACAGACTGCCTCGTATAAAGTGGATGCATCTGAATGTATAACCATCAGTAGCCCGGCAATACTTTTTCAGAGTTATTATCCCTCCACATATGCATGTTTTTCCCCCTACCAACACACTATCTACAGAGAAGTCAAAAACCAAATCTAGGAGACATTTTCAACGAGGATTATGACTAGGAACCATTTGTAATGCTGAGCTATCTGATTGGTTAAATCAAGGTCATTTAACTTTGGTGTCTATTGTTTACTCTTGCCCTCTACTATATGCATTTTATTGTTGTAACTATTCATGATATATATTTATATTTTACCTTAAAGGAGACAAATCCAATAGCATTTTTACTATCATCATCTGGAAACATTATGTGGGCAGTGACAGTATTGTTACAGTTGGCTAAAGGTTCAGCCATTATTCGTCATGAAGCAGGAATATTAGAATATACAACAGCCAGAGCTATGTTATTAGCTTCTTTGAATAATCTTGCCTCGGTTAATCCAATTGTACCGCCCCCTCCATCGTCAATGCCTACATCATTACCTGTTAATGTTCCAGCTGCAAGTCATACAGTTGGTAAACAGTCTCGTATCGGTGATGTTTTCCAGTGGATTCGAGCTGCTATCAAACATGAATTAATGTTACTTGATTTGTTAGTAAGTTTTCCTATACACACTCTTTAAACAATGTCTGTTTTACCTGGTATTTTATATCTTATTGACTGATGTGTTAGTTTTAATCAAAAGTGATTTTGGTATTATATGTCACGTTTCTACAATTAACAACTGGATGACGTTTCTCAGAGATAAACTTTGTCTACTTAAGGACCCAATATATCCAACTAAGAAAAATAATATATTTTCTATAGTTGGTTTGAAAGGGTTAGTTTTGTTTTCACGAGTTGATCGCGCATTGATATCAGCTAGAGAACCATTGAAAAGCAGCCAAGGAGTACTGGACAACTGTTTCATCCTAGTTTGGCATTCATCTGCAGTACGCACCCACTTGGGTTCGAACTCAGGACCTTCCGGTTACAAGACAAGCTCGTAGACCATTCAGCCACTGGGACTCGATTCAATGGCCAGTACATGAATTCTAACTTCTACCAATTCGTGATTTAGCGCGACCCCAACCAATGTCGTTGGTGGGACAGCCGTCCTTACACGTGATTGGATGAACCTCAGTGGTTACGACTTCTCACTAGAACTCCAGAAAACTAACCCTTACAAACCAACTATAGAAAATTAATCTGGTGCTCGCTAGTGACTTCCTACAGGATGAAGTATATATACATGATTGATTATTAAGATTCGACCGGCTGACAACTGCTACCTTACCGTAGTGGTCGGGCTTGAATGCCACGATGAACCAACAAGCTACACTGTCTGGGACTTATGTTCTTGCAGGCCTTACCGTGTCAGGGAGGTTGTTTGGATAGCGGTTACACTGTGGGGTACATGGACTCCAAAATCCAATCGGATCAAACGGCTTATGAACTTGTATTGGTTACCGGCATCCATGGGAATGTAGCTGCTGACGCTGCTTTGCGGATTAGACACCATGTCAAAGGCTCGGGAGGGAGGGGTGGTTCCTTAAGACAACCACCTGCTTCGGTCTGGGTGCCCAAGCAGTGTCTCAGCCTTCACACAATGTGTAGCGCATCTTCTTGGTGCCATATTGTACCAGGTTTTGTGTTTTAATTAAAAAATTATTTATCAATTAAAATTCATTGAGATTCGGAAGATAGAAGCAAAGTGAGAGAAAGGGAGAGTGGCATAGGCTATAAATCGCATGTCATATTCATATCTAAGATGATATTTCTATTCCCCTTTTTTCATCATTGCTTCTACATTAATTTAAGTGGTAAAATGTTTTCAGTTTTTTATAAAGTGTCAGAGTGTAATTTTCGCGATAAATGAAATCCTATGAAAGTGCTGATTTAAAGCTTTAGGACGTTTAAAATAGGCAGCATTTACTATAGAATAGAAAACCATTTCTCTAGGCACACATGCATGTCTTTGAAATTTCGTGTAATTCTCTTGGCTTTAATATTCGATAGTGCACCTTTCATCATTAGCATTAATTTCACTTGAGAAAGTGATGTGCACGTGTTTGTTAATTGCGTAAATCCCTAGATATTCTATATCTTGGTCTCACATATTTGTAAATTAGGGAAGGGATTTTTGTTTCTCAAGCGTTTTGACCCTACATTTAATTGTATCATGTGAGGGTAATTCTTCTTTGCAGTGTGTGTCTGTGCCTTCTCTATCGGTAGGCTATAGATTGGGTCCATGTCCATATGCTTACTGATTGAAGTTTTGTTTATATGCCAGGTTTCTTTCAGTCTGCATATCGTAATATTTTACCAGTTGAAGTTGTTCTCGTTAACTGTCTACATGGGTTAACATCAAAGATGAAGCATTGCATATTTTAGCGTTATGAGCTAATGTCTTCAGGCGCCCATAAATGACCTAGTACGGCTGAGAGTGGGTAGACTTCGGTCTTCCTCTCCAAACGCTCTCAATATGACCACGCTTTCATAACATCTTCCAGGCACATCCTCTTCACTCACGAGGCAACAAGGGTGTGCCTCCCAAAAGTGAAAGGGCTAACTCGAACATCTGGCGCTTACAACCGAACTCGTGTGTATGTTGGTCTACCTACGGGGGAGCTGGAAAACTTTGATTTCAAACCTATGGTGTAGATGTGTACCAGATTGTGGAACGTATTTTGGTCATGGGATCCATGAGAGCACAGCTTGACTGTCATGTGGATCAGACTTCAAGCCAAAGGCATGGGGAGTCAGGGAGAGGCCCCTTAAGACAATCGCCTGTTATTTAACTTTTTGAAATAAAAACTTTAATGTTCATCTTCATTGATTCAATAATATACTGTTTTAAAAAAAAACATTCTTAACCGTTTTGTATGTTTTAGGAATTCTTGAATCCATGCTCATTTATTAGCATCGAAGGAAACAGTCAATCGTACGGTGTATCTAAACCAAATCATTCTGGACAAGTATCCTTAAATGAATTGATTAGACGAGCTAAAATTATTTTGTGTTATGCAGCTGGTTTACCGTCACATGCTAATTCTTTGGAGAATAAAATGGAGTCATTGAATCTTATTGGCCTGTCTGATGAACTAATTACTGCCGCCACTTGTTTTCTATTGATGGTTAAAGTGAGTTAACTGTGTATATATAATGATTATTATTATTATTATTATTCCCTAGGGTTCCGAATGCAACATAGTGCTTCTACAGAACATCTTCATTTCATTCTCGTCTCTCCAATTACTCTCATCTCCTCTAAGTCACCCTCTCGGCCCGTTTCGCATTCGATTCCCACTCGAGAGCCTGCTTGTTGGGTTATGTCACTAAACGGTCACCTCACCCTGTGTCCAACGCATCTCCATTTTCTTTCCTGTATATTTGTTAAACGATAGGCTCTCGGTTGGTTCGTTACCAGTGTTCCTTGTTGCTTATTATTTCTGACTGGCCATCTGATCTTCACCATGAAGTAAAGGCAGTTTTTTGTTGATGATAAAAGTCTTCAGACGCCTGTTCAAAATACTTTTGGTTACTCGCCAATTCTCTGAACCATATTATGAAAGCACTAGCTGACTTGACACTAGGTTTGAAAACCCGAGTCTTGTTCTTTATGCTTAGTGCAATAAATTTCCAGTCTGAGGTCATAAAATAATATAGGTCTGTCTTGCCCTTCCAGTCTTGACCTTATATATACATATATAGGGCTTCAACCGTGAACTTTGAAATTTCAGTAGCACTGGTGCTGCTAACCTCACTCCCAAACTTTCCCTCTTTACTGGGCTTACTACTGACTAAGCGAGGTTAAGGAGTGTGTCACCCGGGGGGTCGAACCCCGGACTACACGCGTGGCTGACTATTGATGAGTTGCATCAGCCCCAGCAGGTTGATCGCTGACGACCAAAGCACGTGTACTGCTCAGCAGTTCTCTCCGTTCTCCCCCTTATGGCTGTGAGACATGACCATTGAAGGTGGAAGACACGAAAAGCCTAGCTAGTTGTCTTTGATCATAGGTGTCTGCGTTCTATCTCCCATGTTTTTTAGGTGGTAGTTAGTATAATAGGGTAGGCAATATTAAGGTTAGGCATCGAGTGCTAGGTAAGGAGGGGAAATCAACAGACGAGGTTGTGAAGTTACACCGATTGAGATGGTCTGAGCATGTGTTACGCATAACTCCCTAGCCATCGCCTTCTTCGACTGACGGTCAGTGTTAACTGACTAACATAGGTTCAAGTTGGAAAAGAGAGAGTTAGTGGTGGGTGGTCAAACTAAAACATGGTTTTATCAGTCAATGAAATCCATAACAGTTAGTTTAAGCCAGTCATGTAGGGAGGTGTAGACTTCCTGGTTGGGGTCAGGGGGATACTAAGAACCAATGGAGGCTGCAGACAATTCGTGGTATGGCTGAAAATCCTCATTGTCAATGTCTGGCGCAGATGCATTCACTCTCTGTGTCATTTGTCATATCCAATAAAACTCTATTGTTCTTCCACATTACTATTCTTTTTGTCTCAATCACGCTTCTGTTTATTATCTGTCTTTTGAATCTCTCTTCATATTCTTCTTTTGCTTTGTATGCTACATGGAAGGAGATTGGCAACTCGAACTGTTGTACATCTGTGCAAAGTTTCTATGTTGATGAAACAAAGTCAGTCAGTGAAACGCATTATTATATTATATTATTGTTCCCTTGGGTTCCTAGTGGAACATAGGGCTTCAATTGCACGTCTCCACTTGCTTCTGTCTTCTGCTGTACTTTTCACTTGCGTCCATGTTATTCCATACTGTTTCATCTCCTCCTCACACGATCTCCTCCAGGTCACCCTTGGACGTCCCACTCGCCGCTTCCCTTTCGGGTTCCACTCGAGCACTGGCCTGACGCGCGATGTCACTCAACGGCCTCCTCAGCGAGTGTCCAATCCATCTCCACTTCCTCCTGCATATTTGTTGGGCGATTGGTTCCTGTTTCGTTTGTTCCCATAGCTTCCTGTTTGTGATTCTTTCCGGCCATCTAATCTTCAGTATGGAGCGAAGACAGTTGTTGATAAAGGTCTGCAACAGGCTGTTGGAAATATTCTTTGTGACCCGCCAAGTTTCTGATCCGTAAAGCAAAATTGACTTCACGTTTGTATTGAAAATCCGAATTTTGTTGTTGATGCTGAGTGACGAAGATTTCCAGATTAGTTTCAGGTTGATGAATGTGTTTCTCGCCTTCCCGATTCTCGACTTGACATCCTCGTCCGTTCCACCTGTAGTTGAGACAATGCTCCCTAGATAAGTGAATGAAGTAACCTCTTTCAAATCCCTCCCGTTGATGATGATTAGCGCTGGATGTTGCTGTTGCTGTTGTTGTTGTTGGTTGGTTATTTTCATAACCTCCGTCTTGTCTATGTTCACCTGGAGTCCTTTCTTCTCTGGCTGCTTCTTCTACCAGTTTGTCGGTTTTCGCTTGTAAGTCTTCGATTTTGTGTGACATCAAACATAAATCATCCACGCGCGAAATCCAGGTCTTGTAGGTTCTTCACGTCGGTCCAGGATATCCCTGTCTTCTCGCTTCCCACTGTCTGACGCATAATCCAGTCCACCACAATTAGGAATATCATTGGTGATAATAAGCACCCTTGTCTGACTCCTGTGTTTACTCCAAACGCTTCGCTGAGTTTTCCGTTGTGGATCACTTGACATGTGCCGTTGTCGTACAGTTGTTGAATAAGGTTGATGAAACGCATTAGAAGAATAAATTATTACTGTTGTTGCCTTATGTTATATCTACTTTGGTGTATATTTATTTTTATTTGAATTTTAGGAATATGATTTTCTGTATCCAACATCTACTCCAATGCAAACAATTTCATTACCTTCAGAGAATATCTCATACAGTGTTACATGTACGGGCTCGCTGCATTTGATTCGTATTTTATTGCATTTTCATGAGGTGTTACAATCAGCTGAAAATGCTAACAATAATACTAATAATAATTTCGACCGTTGTACCGCCAATCCATTGTCTACGAAAAAGATGAATATAAATGTAGACAAACAAACTTCATCGTCATCATCGATCATCATCATCACCGGCGTTTAAAAATCTCTTGAGTGCTACAGTTAAATATGGTGATTCAGAAAAATTAAAAACTGTTATCAATGAATTTTATGAATTAATACTTATTCGTGGATGTCTGTTTGTAGAATATTCTAATTCAACAGACAATGTGAATAGTAACTCTAAAGTCTCTGGATCTGAACAGCAACAACAGCAGCAACAACAAAATAACAGAAGTAACTATCACTCAGGTTAGTAGGCACTTTAAATAATATTGCTTATTCCTTATCCTGTTGATACAAAAAATGTTGATATTCTGAGATATCGGTCTTTTTTTTCTCCTTACTTTTGCGAATTGCGTGTCTGTTTGAAGGTTTGACCGCGATCTGACATCAGTTAGAGAACCATTGGAAAACCAGAGAGTAGCGAACAGTTGTTTCGTCTTTGTTTCAGACTCCTCAGTAGTACACACCACCCACTGGGTTTCTAAGCCAAGGACCTTACGTCAACAAGGCGAATTCGTAGACCATTTAGCTGCTGGGACCCTATCCAATGGCACGTGAATCCCAACTTCTGCCAATTCGCAATATATATATATATATACTGGACCGTTAGGTATACTAATTGCTTCAATGTTACCTGATCGCCTTATGGCGCCTAGATGATGTTACTAAGTCGTATTGCTTCGTTATAACTCCATTTCATTTGCTTGTACATAATGGCTGCTGTCCAAGTAAATAAACATGGATGAAACAGAGCTGTCCAGTACTCCATGCTGGTTTTCAAATGATTTTCTAACCGATATCAATCCTTGATCAAAACTTGAAACAAAGCAAATCCCTACAAACAAACTTACTCTTGAAAATATGTAATAATACTGAAGGAGTAGGAGAATTGACAAGTCAGTTCAAGGTTATAAAATGTGTCAGGTGAGTGGCTAGTACAAAGTGTACGGGTTCGAGAACATTTACCAGCTTGGTTCAGCAGAGGGGAAATTAAGTGTTTAAAAAGCTCGATCCTGTCACACTTGGTCGATACTGGACATCGTATTGATGTCAACACAGCTTTCAGGGTTATATACCGAATTCCGAAGTCGTTATCACGTACAGTTCGCTTACGTCTTCTACACATAGCTGAAGCTGTTGCAATAAGGTCGACTAAACCGGAACTTTGTATCCAAAATGAACACGTCCAGACGCTGTTCCTACCGTGGCTAAACTTGGATTGATGATTCTTCTTCTCACCAAGAGTGCTCCTTTTCCTTAACCCCCCTTGGTTTTTTTTCCTTTGCTTATTATTACAAATATTATCATTATTCGTCATAATTTATGCCCTTCATGCAAACATTCTCTCAATACTATCGAATTTTTCATTTATACTATCCGGACTTATTATTAGTGATATTATCTCTTCTCAATATATGCCTCCACCTGTTTCATTTCACATATTCGTTATTTCATTATGTACCTCTCATTGCAGCCTTACTATCTCCTGTTTAACACTGACCACTTTTTACTAACCACTCACCTGACACCTTTTATAACCTTGAACTGACTTGTCAATTTTCCTACCACACACTCTACAAATCTATTATGATTAATCACCACGACATTGTCTCCCGTTTTACAATATTTTGTAATCGAATTCAGCCTAGCACGTTTGTCACACAAATACGACTATTTATTTTGACACCCCATAACTGCTAATCTGCTATTCTACGTTAAAAATGTATCTGCCGCATAACTGGTTGTTATTGTGACGACAACAAATATGATATTTTATAATTGTAAGAAGCTGAAGAGAAATTATTGAAAAGAATATTCTTTGTTGAGATTGACTTTTAATTCATAATATGGGAACATTCCACACTATCAAATCTAATACTGAAGGAAAATAAATATGCTGTAAAGGGAGGGAGAGAATAAATCAAGTAATTTTGATGAGAAGTTTTTAGTGACATTATTTAATTACAGTAGCTTTAGATTGGTGGGCTGACATTTATATATTGGGTTTTAATTAAATCGAAAACAACAAGAGACGGAATTATTGTGATGTTCATATATCTGTGGCGTGTACTACTGACAAGATTTATCAGCAGTATATGCACACAGATCGTCAGAAAGTAGCCATAATTCTAAACAACATTTTACGTCAGACACTACAGAAGTAAAAGCGTTTATTTTTCAAATCTGAAGGATATAACTTACGTTATGGTCAACAACCAATCAGAACAGTTTTAACCTTCAGAAAATCAACAACCAATCAGAACAGTCTATTATCCGCTGACCTAGTCGACCATAAATGTATAAATTTTCCTTTTAAAATGTCCGGAGAAGTTTGATGTTTGGGATCTACATTTTAAGTAGGCTGAAGGTAAATGATGGACATTGTCGTAGATGAATTCAAAGTGGGTTTTTTGTTTTTGAATGTTGAAAAAACAACTGTGAAGGTGAAAATGTTAGCAGCAATGAAAATGGTAGGAAAGAACAGTAATGTTCAGAGTTGGAAATCAGAAATGGCTTTTGAGTGTGATTTGGTGCGTACATTGTTTCAATGAATAGCATTGTTTTATTTTTTTCACCAAAGCATAAAATTGGGCACATTATGGGCACCACAAGACATGCACAAGACATATATCCTATAGTTTGTACAAGGGATGGAATACTTCTGAGACACCCAAACCGAAGCAGGTAGTTGTCTCAGTGGGTCACCTACCGAGTCTTTGGCTTGAAGCCTGATCTGATCCACAAGGCAGTGGGATACCATCAGAGGCTACGTGATTAAAACCAGTTGCATATTGTCATTCGATCCTTTCGCATTCTTTGGGCCATATACACCATAGGTTTGCAATCAGAGGTTTCCAGCTCCCTCGTAGGTAGACCTATATATCCACCAGTCTGGTTGTAATCGTCAGATGTTCGAAATAGCTCTTTCACTTTTGCGAAAAAAAATACCCTCACTGCCATGAGAAGACAATGAGTGATTCAGTGAGTGACGGATATGAAGGCGTGGCCACGTAAGAGCATTTTGAGGGGTAAAACGGAAGTCTACCTTCCCTCAACTGTGTATATATACGTACGAAATATCATTCACTCTTTTAGTAATCACTGATTTGCCACAGTGCATAATAACGATTCTCCACAAACTTCACTGTTCTGTGCGTCGGTGGCACAGTGGTTAGGACTCTCGCCGACTATGCACATGGTTCGGAGTTCGATCCCCCGCCGACGCACACCTGATATCTATGGTCGGCCTGCAAAATTTGAGCTACCGATATCCATGCTGAAAATTCCATACTTGTACTGAAAATACGGTGTGGTATCAAGCTGTTATCAAAAATGAAAATGAAAAATGTTGAAGGCGAGCAACTGTTATTTTGATGTTAAGATTATGTGTATTTAATATCAGTATAAGTAAATAGTGCGTCGATGGGTCAGCAGTAGAATGCTTGCCAACCATGGATGTGGTCAGGGGTTTGATTTCCAGCCGTAGCATACCTTTACCTCCCGTAGCCAGTTGTTAGCCTAACAAAGAGGGAAGGTTGGACGCTGGGCTAGCAACCCTATCCACCCGGTAAAAAATTGACACCACTGCTAGTGAAACTTCAAGACTCAAGCTTAAAGGCCTATGTTCCACTCGGAACGCAAAGTAATTAAACAATAAAAAATAAGTGAATACCTTGTCCTTTATCTATGGAAGATTTGACCGAGGTAACAAGTAGGATCATTCACGAATAACATGAAGGTTGTCGGTCATTAGCTCTTGTTAATGACAGTAACGCCAAAGAAGTTAATCCACATAGGTTTCTTCGTTAGAAAAAAATCGTGTTCAGTATAAATTGGTAGTTAGACTAACACAATGGCAAAGTTAAACTATAACAATCTATGGGGTGTGAACGCACAAGTGACCTTGAGCCTACCAATCAGGAAATATAGTGGATTTTGCATAAAAATATTTATTTACAAAAGAAATACATAAAAACACACTAAACAGGATATTTTTCTACTGACGTGACTTGAAAATACCTCTTAGTTGTGTTGATGAGAAGTATCAGTTTATAAGTTAGCCCTGTTTCTGTACATGTATTCTCCAAGGTAACTGAAGATGGATTCTTTGTGTGATTCATTTATCGTTCTCATCCTACTTTTCCGTCTTCTCCAAAAGCCCTCGATTGAATTAGTACGCGTTCCAGTAAAAAGATCGACAACTAATACTTACCAGGAAAATACGGATAATAAGAATAAATAGCACCAACCGGAAACCTAACCTTATTCATATTACTAACCCCAACCTTCATTTTTTTTATTCCTTCACGTTCCCAGTGGAACATAAGGCTACAAGCTAGAGGCTTGAAGTTTCTGTAGCAAAATTTATTTTAACGGGATGGGGTTGCTGGTCTCATGCCTAACCTTCCCTCTTTACCAGTCTTAGCGAGGTAAAGGAGTGCGCTGGCCGGGGACCGAACCCTGGACCATATGCATGGTCGGCGACCGTCCTAACCGCTGTGCCACCGACGCACCAATCTTCATTATTATTCCTTTGCGTCCCGAATGAAACATGAGGGCTTCAAGGTTGAGCTTTCGAGTTTCAGTAGCACTGGTGTTCTTTTTTATGGAGTGAGGTTACTAGCCTCATGCCCAACCTTCCCTCTTTGATAGGCTTACAACTGGCTACAAGAGGTAAAGGTGTGAGTCGGTCAGGAATTGAACTCCAGACCATGTTGGCAAGCATTCTACCGCTGAATCACCGACGCACATCAGTTATAGTGTTGCATCGACCAAAACATCAAAGTAATATGACACTGTGAAATAGACAATTTGCAACACAGCTGTTAGTAGGGGAAGTGAAATTTCGTTAAACCAACTGGTTAGCACCATTGTGGATAGACATATAATGTCATGTAAGAAACTAGCGAATTCTATACTGTCAGACCCCGAACACCCTCTGTATACGCAGCTCTCTCCTTGCATTTCATCTGATAGAACTAGAAGCAACTATAGGAGGCTATATGCCAGGACTACCAAGTACAAAAACTCTACAATACCTTATCTGGCACAGCTGTTATATGATGAGAAATCCGTTAGGTATGACATGATCAACTTACTGCGGCACTCTAACAAATAGTTCCCACTAGCTTTTGTTCTCCTTTCTTTGTTACTATTATATTGTTGCTCACATCTTTTATTACACACTAATTTTATATTTCATATCCTGTGGTGCATTGTTTAAATATGTGAATGCAATGCTGTTCTTTTCTTATTTCTTTTTGTTGTTGTTGCTTTATATTTTTAAATTCTTATAAAATTTACGAGATAATTAGATGCAATCTTGTAATGCATCCTGAAAATTCCATTTTATTTATGATTTTAATTTGGGGAATTTTATTTATTTATTTTTATATTTATAGACATTTCCCGTTCAAGAATTACTTCACCTATTCTGTACAATATCATTGGATTATTAGCCACACTAGATAAAGTAGCACAGTTAATTATCGCCTCCGGCCTCAACTTCCCTATAAATGCTACTAAACTGAAAAATTCAACAGATTCAGAACATCATCATTTACCGATTGGATTACAATTATTAGATTATCTTATTATTGGTTTTGCTCAAATTGCTCAACAAGTGTGTACAAAGTTCACTTTACGTATTTTAAAACAAGTAGTCAGTTGTTTTCCAACGAATAATAATAATAATAATTTCGATGAATACAAGACTACTACTACTAATGAATCATCATCAGTAGGCAGTGAAGATAACTCCTCCACTGCCGCCGGTACAAATAATTCATCGTCGTCTGATTTACAGCCAAGCACTACAAAAGTGCGTACATCAAGATGGGATAAACCTTTGACGGATACTGCGAAGAAAGATCGTAGACGTAGTCAACAACGTGAAAAAAATTCAACTGATCATATCATCATCATAAAGGAGTGATAGTATCATTTCTAGATCAACAATTATGGACGCTAAACTTGGAATCACATTCAATGGTGAGTGTGAAAAATACAATTATTGTGTTGATTTCCTTCATTTTTTTGTTTTGATAATATAAGTAAAAGCTAAACTGCTAGAGGAAACGAGAATGAAATAATGCGATCAAATATAGGCTAGTTAGTATTCAACTTGTCCAGATATCTTTTAATATACTGTGTCGTCAGTTACCCGGTTTCATTATTTACTTTCATAACCTGACCCCATTCAGACGGACCGCACACATACGACTATCTACTGGGATCCAGTCAAGAAGTGATTTTTCCGCCCTAACACTCAGTGCTATCCCTACACCTGCGAGTCCTCGCAAGCTAGCTGAGGGGTCTCCTGACACCTTTAAAGTGAATTTTGCAGATTCACCTTGTTGACCGGGTGAGGTCAAGTGAATGACCATGGCCCTAGATTCCAAAGTTCTTGCTAGTGATGCCTGTTGTCCGATTTGGCAGAGGATCCTGACGTTAAAAGCTCCTATATGAAGTTGGCGACGTGGCTTTAAAAGGCTATCTGGGGTGTTTCTATGGCTCTCACCTTTGTTTGTGGACACAGAGTGAAGTGAAGATGACTCAATAGCCTGCAGAATAGTGCTAACTGTAGTTGAGAGGCAAGATGAGGAAGGTGATGTGAGTAAGGGAGAATGATGCTCAGGAAGGCTTCGTGTGCTTTTGGAAGTGTGCGGGCGGTTGTTACTTCCCGGCTGCCCACACCGTGGAAGTTGATTGATTCTTCGGGAACCTGAAACAGAAAGTGTTGCGTGACCGCAGAGCCCAGGGGACAACTGCTTGAGGCCGGTCACACGCGGCCTGTTTTTGTTTGGTGTGTCTCAGTAGCATATTTATCACTTCTGCCCTGTGACACGGCAGCAGGAAGCTCGGTCGTTGTTAGTCTGGACCCCGACCGATCCGGCATGATATTTTGTGAATTTGTTTGAATCATAGTATTGGATTGGGTAGCTGCTTTTTGTCTAACCGCTATCCAAACAACCTTTCTGGCATGGTAGGACCTTAGGAACATAAGTTCCAGCCAGTGTAGCTCGTTGGGTCATTGCGATATGCAAGGCCGACCACCACGTCAAGGTAGCAGCTGTCGGTCAGGCATAACCTGAACTGTGATTGTTCATAGTTTTCGCCTTACACAAATCCAGGCATACAGGCAATATTTGATATGATTACCATATTTTATTCTTAGATGGTATGAAGGCAATTGACAGGGAGCTTTTTTTGTTGTTTTATGCTTGTTGGGCACTCGTCAACAGCCTGGTCACTCACTGCTGTAGTCAGAGACATTGCCATTGATTTATTCGGGCTGGTGACTGACCTCTTGTAAGGCTGTAATGAATACTTTGATTGGATACACTAGGTAGTAACTAATGTCAGGTGTGTGTGTGTGTGTGTAGTACTTTGGTGTTGGTGCAGACTGGATTCTCTTAGTCAAGTTTTCAATTTGCCCCCCCCCCCCAGCATGTCAGTGTTAATAGAGCAGGATTTAATGAATTCATCAAATGAGAGACAACGATAACATCTTTATTCTGGACAACATTTATAAAATGTACAGAATGATCAGGGGAGTTTATTGCATGGTATATCCTCGTCACACAATATCCTGTGAAAAAAATGCTCTCTTAGCTGAAGCACAAACCATTTCATTGTGACATATCTGCTTTGTCTCCTCCTTCAAGAAATCCACGATATCTAGTTGAAAGCCAATTGTAAGATGTTCAGAAGTACATTTCGGGACCCAAGGACTTATCTCTCATGTATTGGAAAACATTGCCATCCCCACAATCAGGCCTTTCCTCAAGTTTAGTAGGAACTTGAGAATCAGAAGCTTGTAAACACTTTAAATACACACAAGAGTGTATTATACCAATAGAGGTCATTTCTCAATAGATTAAAACAAACTGAACGAGAGGAAATATATACAATAGAGGTAGCCCAAGTTTTAAGCAGGCCACCAACAAAATTAGGATTGTAATGAATTCCAGTCCAGCATTTTTATTACTGGCATATTATCTAGCTTCTGTGTAAATGGTTGAAAAAAGCTGAAGCTAAGATATTAAAGAGTTCCGTAGCAAAGAATCTTCTAGACCACAGACATGATATTGTCTCTGTCGAGTCCGTCTACTGTTGTCAGTAGACAAACAAATGGAAAGATGCTTGGAATTATGGAGACCTGTACAATTAGGGTCTATATGCTCGATGTCGGTGTACAGAAAGAAATGGTGGTCACTTTGAATCTGTCTTGGTAGTATCTTTATATGTGTTACTTATAGTATAGTATAGGGTATGTAAAGTATTTAGCTGGGTCGTAGAGACATGTGGCGAACTCGCTGAATTCCGATTTACTAAACAATGTTGCTTGTTGTAATCCTTTTTGGCTTACAAATTGGTAGAGCTATCAAGATACGGATATGACGCGTTTGTCCTAATACCTTATCTCTACCTAAACTGTACTGCCATTTCTAATTAAACCTCCTGAAGGTTGATTGCTGCCTCGTATTGCTCATGAAGACATGAAAAGATTAGCTGTCTTTGATCATAGGTGTCTGCGTTTTATCTCCCATGTGAAGTGGTATAATAAGGTGAGCAATATTGAGGTTAGGCACCGGTCGAGTGCTAGGTAAGGAGGAGAAATCAATACACGAGGTTGTGAAGTCACGTCGACTGAGTGAGATGGTTAGGACATGTGCTACGCTTGCATGCCTAGTCATCGCCTTCCTCGACGGGCAATGTTAGCTGACTTAGGAGGGATCAGGTTGGAGAAGAGCTAGCGGTGGTCAAACCAAAACATGGCACCAGTCTATGGAATCCACAACAGTTAGTCTAAGCCACGTAGGAAGATGTAGACTTCCTGGTTGGGGTCCTCGGGATGGTAAAAACCAATGTTTGGAAACAATTGGTGACATGGCTCAAAATCGTTCTCAGTGGCGCAGAAGCATCCACTCCTTGTGACTCATGGTTTCCAATGAAACTGTTTTGTTCTTCGTTATTACTATTCCTTTTTCTCTCACCTTTGTTTACTGTCTCTATTTTGCACTTCTCTTGCTTTGTTGTGCTACGTGGAGAGAGTGTGGCGAATTGAACTGCCCCACATCGGTGCAAAGTTCTGTGTGGGAAACAGACAGAGACGTATTGCTCATCCGTAACGTCAATGAATGCAGCAATGGGACTGCAACATCATTTACTTGATGAAAGTTGCAGATACCTCCCGCTGATGTGTGCCATCAAGCACAAACCCCATATTCAGGACTTCGTGCCTCATATCTTCTTCAAAATACATCCTGTCCAATCATTCTTTTTGTCATTTCACACAAATTAAGTAAAGAATTCGGCGATATATTCATTTCTGAGTACAATATCCACACATATATATGGTTAGTTGGAGTTAGATTGCTTAATTAATCGCCCTCATCTTCATCGATTGAAATCGTCATACTCTTGTTACTCACACGAAACCACCGTTCATCTTTATGCTCATCAAATGTTAACTAAAGTAACATTTCCTACATTTATTCCCCTTTGTGAATTTGAATAAAGCAAGAACAACAGCGGTTTGTGCAGAATAACACGGTACCATCATTGTTTATTTCGTTGGCTTCTCATCAGCTGCTTACAGTCTACGGAAATTATTAAGTTTATGTACAGAAACAATTTTAACATACTTACTCAGAGAGTTCAAATTTAAACAAAAAATCAATATATGCATAAAATGGCAAAGGAGTTGCGTAACAAAGAGGTTAAAGCCAAAGATTGTATAACCCCAGATGAAGGAGAGAGAGTAAAGACATCCAGTTACCAGGGTATGGGAAGACTGATAACTGTTTCTTTGCGAACACATAAATCGGGTTTCAGGCGTTTGATAGTGATTATTTCAGCAAACTTGAGGAGAATTGAGCCATTTCGTCTATTGATAATTTTAAAGGATTTCATGATGATATCCACCACATGACCTCTTTCGACAAGATGCTTGGCAGTGGCAATATTGAAAGCGTTTTTTCCTTTGAGACGTAGGCTTTTTAGTACATGTTCAGAAAATCGGAGGTGTGACCTTTCCATTCTTCCAATGGAACTGCTACCTCAGATACATGTAAATTTATATACACAGTTGGAGTTAACAATGAGAAGGGTATCTGTCGACTTTCGATTGCGCCAAAGAACAGCATGTTGTCCGATAAACGGGAACCAACTTATTATCTGCAGGATAGGTTCTGGCTAGTGAGGTATTCAATCTTCTGTTGACTATCCCTGCGATGAACGAAATATCCCCATATTGAGTCATAAGAAAAAGGGGCAAACAGCGAAGAAAATTTTCTTTTCGACAATTCATTTTCATGAGCTGTGCAATCGTAATTTTATTTAACAAAGAAATCTTTAGACCAATCAGATGCTGGCAAACTTTGTCCTCGAAGAATGTATTACATAATGTAAGGTGTAAGAAGGGATGACTAATTGTAAGTTAGAAAAGAGGCAGAAGTTGGCATGACGTAATAAGTGTGAGATAATGACTAATCAATAAGCTCGTGTAGAATGGACAGGAACTAGTGGAAAGGCGATAAAGTGTAATAACAATAATAATAGTGAACTTACATAATAAAAGGAAGAAGCAAAATTATAGTAAGAACCTTACTCTGGCCACGGTAGGGCGAGTGAATGTATGTAGTGCTTTTGAATGCAGAGGTCCGGTTTCAGATCCCGAATAGCTAATGCTTCAGCTATGTACAGATGGCGTATGCGACGTCCCTTTGTACGATATTGAGGTGTCTTACTTATCATTTGCCTTTTGCAACCTGTCTGTCTAGTTAGTCTAAACAGTTGTCTGGTGTTGCTTATCGTCGATGCCTTCTCCACCCTTTTCTTTTTGTTTTTTTCGCCCAGCACAGTTCGTGGTCGTTGCGAAGACTTTTGGTCAGTGTTCATTTGAATAGCTTACGCTCTTCATCTTACTCGTAGCTTGCTGGAATCAGTCTCCTTGCTGCGTCATAATCAGTTCATATGAAGTAGCAGAGATTCACTGATATTTTCTAATCTTTGGTTTTAGTCCATCAACTGCCTTTGCCACTGTCTTAGCTGACTGGATATTATACCAGGTTTCCCCGGGATGAGTTTTGCTGTCAAACTCAGATACACGCGTAGTTATTTCTTCCTTGAATAGGGACTTAGTGGGAGGTGGGGTGGGGAGGAATTTGAAGGATAATCAGTTTTTATCCTGTGATGTTAACGTCGCGTAATTTTTGCTATTCTTTTTCCCAACGATTTCAGTAATTAGCAGCGCAGGCTACAATAAAGCGATAAATGTGTAATAAATGTTTCTGTTAAGGCATATATTCCAGTTGTTTTTGTTACATCAATTATTCTACGGATTCCTTTTTATTTATTTTTTTGCTGTTAGGTCAATGGTGAAATGTTGTGTGATCATTTAAATTACCTCTTACACTGGGGTTTATCTGTTCAACCCGATCGAATTGATTGGCTTATTCTACGTGGTGAAGTGGAATTTTTCAAGAAGAACTACCGTTTAGCTCTATCAACCTATTTGGAATACGCCAGTGTTGTTATTGACTCATTTTCGAAGAATACTCTGTCAGTATATTTTACGAAAGAGGTATTCTGACCGATTCATCATTATCATAATAATAATTATTATTTTGTGTATATTTGAAGATTTTTATATTTGCAATTCGTGCATATTTTATTATTTCAGAATAACACTAATCATCTGTGTGGATGCCGGAGTTTCTACCTTAGAAATTCCCCATAAACACGACCGGCTACGGTTGACGACAGTGGGTAGACTTTGGTCTTCCTCTGGAAATGCTATCATGTAGCTAAGCCTTTATAGCCTCTGTCAGATAAGTCCTGTTTACTCACTCACTGCCTTCATATGGTGACAAGGGTGTTCCTCACAAAACTGAATGGGCGAATTAGAACATTTGTCAATTACAACGGGATTGACTGGCGGGGAGCTGGAAAATACGGATTCCAAACCTATAGTGTACATGTGCTCCAAATTTCGAGAGAGCTGAATGGCGTATAAAACTGGTTTTAGTCGTCGGAAGCCATGGGAATGCAGCTTCACTGCCTTGTGGATCACAGACTTCAATTCAGAGGTTCGAGGAGGGCGACCCCTTAATACAACCATGTGCTTCGGTCTTGGTGTGTTTAGGGAGTTTCTCAGCCACTGCATACACTACGAAAGAAGACTGATATAATGAAAATACTCAACCAATAACAAGGAACACTAATCACCATCAACAGGAGAAATCTAAAGGAAGTTGACTCATTCGCTTATATCTAGACAGACAGCATCATGTCAAATGTGAGTGAATCATGCGCAGACGAAATCACATCACTACTCACTATCATCGAAAGAAGCCTAGGATAGCAGTCAAGTCAATGCCTCAACTTTATAGATTTTGGAAAGGCCTACAGCAGTGTCGAAAGTGAAGTTGTTTAGCAACGAGTCCAACACTTTGGAGTACAGTACCACAAACATGCATTAACATCATTCAACAGTTACGTTATGATGCCACATATCAAAGAAACTAACAATGGAAAACTCACTGAAGCGTTGGAAGAGGAGGTGGGAGTAAGACAAGGCGACTGTCTACGATTACCAATGATTTGCCTGATTGTAGTCGACTGGATGATGTGGCAGTATGTGAGAAATAAGAGAACAGGTATACTCTGGATTGGTCGGTGATTTATGTCCTGTATATCACATCTACTATCTTTAAATTACAAGGCTAAATATATAGACAAACTGAAGGTGTAGCAATGGGATCACCAATATCCCCTATCGTAGCAGATATATTTATGGATAGCTGGGAAAATATGGCACTTAATACCTTTGATCCTACTCCAAAAATATGGTGGAGATATGTGGATGACACTTTCACAGTGTTAAAAACAGAACATATCTCTAGCTTCTTGACACACATAAATTCACTAGTGGAGGGAATAAAATTCACATTTGAAGCCGAAAATGAGCAAGGAGAATTGGCTATGTTAGATTGTAAAATAAAACGAATAGAAGAGGGCGAACTACACACTAGTGTTTATAGAAAACCAACGCAAAGTGCTAATAGATATTTAGACTTTAATTCATCTCATCCTTTAACTGTTAAGGCAGGCTTAGTTAAGTGTTTAACAAACCGAGCAATGGCACTAAGTAGCACAAAAAGAGACCTAAATGATGAAATAAAACAGATAGAAAAGGCGTTGGTGTTAAATAACTCCTTTAAAATTCATTAGGAAGATTAAAAAAGGCCAAAATAAAAATAATTGTGAAACTAGTAATGATAACATAAATAAGAGAGAATATAAGTCATCTGCAGTTATACCATATAAAGATGGGACATCTGAGACCCTACGTAGGATTCTAAATAAAGCAGGAATTAGGGTGGCATTTAAACCTACAAGCTCACTCAGGGACAAGCTCTGCAGGCTAAAGAACCCTGTAAGTTGATCCAATTAAACTAAATAATATAATTTACAAAATACCCTCCAATGACTGTGAGTTAGGTCAACTACATAGGTCAAACTAGTAGGTCAGGGGTAGTCAGATTGTCAGAACATAAGAATTTAGCCAAGGTAAGAATGGTTGACCCAGAGAAGATAAGTAATTTAGAAAAAAGCTCAGCAATTGCACTGCATGCATAAACAGACAACCACACAGTAGCATGGTGTGAGAGGGTTAAAATTCTAAAAAGTAATCTAGGTAGGTGGAGAGCGAGAGAGGTTGATTACTGAATCCTTGTTCATCGAATCTACACCCAACACATGCAATAGGAATGATTCATCACTCATACCCGAAATATGGGAAATATTACTACCAATCAAGTCAAGTGAAAATCAAGTGAAAAACAACGGAATTATATAAATGAATTTAGGAAGTCGTGTGATTACCTTAGTATGTTTATAAGCAATAAATTGTGCTCGAAACGTCATCAGTAAATATTACTGTATAACACTGTGAGACTTTATCAAAATAAAATTTACCCATAGTGTATATCACAAACTCGAAGATATGCAGAAGAAAATCAACAATTTGGCAGAAAAGGCAACAAGGGCAGGACTCTAAGTGAACTCGGAGAAGACAGAAGTGATGAAAGTACTGCAAAATACAATAAACACCATCAACAGGAAAAATCTCAAGGAAGTCAATTGTTTCTCTCACTCGGACAGGCGGCACGCATGAGGATATCAACGTAAACGATGATCCCGTGAGGAATGTAACTCAGGCGTCCATTACTCTATGATTAGTTTAGAGATCTACTGCACCCAACATAAGCAGCAGGATCTGAATCTTCAATATTAAGGATAATATTCACAAGGTCAGAATAACGCTTAGCCAGCCATACTGTTATCGAGGCATGCTTATTCAAAGCGTGTCTTCATAGCCTCAGTGCTCTAATGTACATCTATCCTTCTGTATTACAAATCCTCATTTCTAACTCTGTATGTAACCAACCTTCACATTATCTTTCTTCTTTTGTCTTTAGCTAGTGTTTCGAATGATGTGTTGCCTTCAGTATCTTGGATTATTTTATGAAAGTATAGTACTTTCACAACTTGGACCGTCTGATGAATCCCTTATCGATAATGCTATCCTACTGATCAATAGCTTGGGAGAAAATTCCAACGGTTGGCCATTAGTACAAGTAGACACTTTCACTACTGAGATTGTAAATCTTCAAAATCAACGAACAACTACTTCTTGTAATGAAAGCTCTTTAGACTGTTTACGTGGATCTTGTGGCGGCACATTTCTACACACCACACTTGACTGTCCTGACAATTTAATTCCGTATCTTTGGAATGTTCGTCTGCTGTCATCGCTTGAATCTTCTGCTTCTAATCGTGGTGCATTATCACAGTCAGCGAAATTCAGAGGTAAATATTTAGTCTGTGTTATGTTGTATTGTATATATATAATTCTGCCATAAAATTAATAGATATAGAGTGTAATCTTGTTTGGTGTATTATTCTATGCTGTGAAATACACAAGTTGGAGAGGTGATCTATCATTAAAAAGTCGAAGAGAAAGAGAGTCAAAGATCTTGGGAAGGTTTTTATACTATATGAATAATAACCAGTTATACTGACTGACTGACTCAATTTCAACATAGAACTTTGTACAGAAGTCCAACAGTTCGAGTTGCCACACTCTATGTAGCACACAACCTGAAACCAGTTTGGAAATCTTGTACACTCAGCATAAACAACAAGATTCGCGTTTTCAACACCAATATCAAGTCGGTCCTTCTATACGGGTCACAAACTTGCACTGCTTGTCAGTCACGAAAAGGATTTCCGACAGCCTGTTGCAGACTTTCATCAACATCTGCCTTCCCCCGCTACATACTGAAGATCAAATGACTGGTCGGAAAGAATAATTAACAAGAAACTGTGGAAACAAACCAATCGAGCAAGAGCCGATCGCTCAACAAGTATGCAGGAGAAAATGGAGATGGGTATACATTGAGGAGGCCGTCGAATGACATTGCGCGCAATGCAGACCATTGCTCGAGTGGAATCCACATGAGAAGCGACGAGTGGGTTGTCGTTGCGAGAGTGAGGAAGGGACTAGAGAGTTTGATCAGTCATGGACCCACCTGAAGAGGATGGCAGAAAGTAGAAGAAAGTTGTGTTGTTGAAGCCAGCCCTATGTTCCATTTAGAACCAAAGGGAAAAATAATAATGTAGCACACAAAGGAAGACAAAATAGACAGAAAACTGAGATTCAATAATAAGCAGAAATGTATGGGAGAAAGAATAGTAACATGGAAAAACGCATCAGTGTTTAATGGATATAGCAGATCACAAAGAGTGGATGTATCTGCACCATTGAAAACAATTTCGAGCCATATTTCACCAACAGTCTGAAAGACTTCTTTCAAGCGACAGTGTTCACCTCTTTACTTGGCTGAAACTAACAGTCTCAAAGACTCCACGGATCGATGTCATGCATTGGTTTGAAAACTAACCACCTAACTCTTTCTCAAACTAATCCCATATCAGGTAACATTACTGAAAAAGGAAAGCAATGTCTTGGCCATGTGGGTAAATGTTAGAAAGCTGATTAAAAGTATCTTTCACTGAATATATATATTCCTCAAAATCCGTGTCTTCCTATATACATTGAAATGATGCATGAATGGGACTGACCACACTCGAATAACTAACTAACCAACTCATCCGGGTATCGACCAAAGGGCGTGTGTACTGTTCGGCAGTCCGCTCCATCCTTCTTTATGGTTGGCTACGAGACCTGGCCATTAAGAGTGGAAGACATGAGAAGCCAGTCTAGCTGCTGCCTTTGATCATAGGTGTCTGCTTTCTATCTCCCGTTTGAAGTGGTGTTATAATAGGGTGAGCAATATTGAGGTTAGGCACCGGTCGAGTGCTAGGTAAGGAGGAAAAATCAATAGATGAGGCTGTGAAGTTACATCGACTGAGATGGTTAGGACATGCGTTACGCATCATTACCTAGCCATCAATCGCCTTCCTCGACTGACGGGCGATGTTAGCTGACATATGGTGTATCAGGTTGGAAAAGGGCCAGTGGTGGTCAATCCAAAACATGGCTTCATCAGTCAATGAAATCCACAACAGTTAGTTTAAACCAGTCACTTAGGGAAGTGTAAACTTCCTGGGTGGGATCTTCGGGTTAGTAAAAACCAATGGCTGGAGATAGTTGGTGATATGGCTCAAAATCGTTCTCAATGATGGTGCAGATGCATCCACTCCTTGTGACTTATAATACCCAATGAAACTATATTGTTCTTCGATATTACTATTTTTTTTACCTCATATCTCTGTTTACTGCCTCTATTTCGCATATCTTTTTACTTTCTTCTTTTGCTTTGTGTGCTACATGGAGAGAGAGTGACAACTCGAACTGCTGCACATCAGTGCAAAGTTCTATGTTGATGAAACCAGTCAGTTAGTCAACTCATCTGTTGATAATTCTTGAAGTGTATCTCGAAGTGTATTTGAGAAAAACAAACTTGGATGTAATATTTCTTAGTCTAGTAGTGGAAACTAGAAATGTTATGCTGCAAAATATAGATGAGCTGTAAGTGTTTCTTTTGCTTGACAATTTATCAAGGTCTATGACTATCCGACTGACTGACTCGCAACATAGAACCTTGTACAGAAGCCTAACAGTTCGAATTGCTACACTCTATTCCACATTACTTTGTTTATTAGATGTATCACACAGTGAAGAAACAGAATTACTGTTCACTGGATGATGTTTCGAACACAATTCATCACTGTTCATAATCATTTTATCAATTATAATCACACGACTTCGAAATCTGAGTTTTATGGTCTTCTTTGTTCTCTCCTATTTGTCGTCGTAGGGTTAGTAGAATTTTCCAGATGTCCGTGTGAACTGGTGTTGAACCATTCCTATTACACGTATTTGCAGTTGATTCGATAAACAAAGCTTCTATTATCAATTTCTCCTTCCATTCTGTAACATTAGATTTTAAAAGTGTCATCTTATCCCATCCTTTGTATGGTTGTGTGTAATTGCATGTAGTGTAGTACTATAGCTGAACTATTCTCTAGATTTCTTATCTTATTCGGGTCAGCTAATATAGATTTCGCTAGGTTTATATGCTCCACTAGTGTGACTTCACCTGCTCTACTAGTTTGACCTATGTATCTGACCTGACAATCATTTCAGACAGGGTATTAGATAAACTAAATTGTTTTGTTCTATTGGCTCCTCTGGCAGGATGCGTCAACCGACAAAGCTTGTTGCTAATTGAGTTTGTATGTGGTTTGAATGCTAGCCACTTTTATTCCAGCCTGCCTTGTTAAGAATTCTGCGTAAGGTTTCCGAGGTTCCTTCCTTGTACGGAATTACTACTGATGATTTGGATTCCTTATTGTTGGTGTTGTCAAATCAACTGCAAACACGTGTAATAGGAATGATCCAATACCTGTCCGAGACATCTGGAAAATTCTACTACCCCTACGACGACAAATAGGAGAGAACAGAGAAAACTATAAAACTCAAGTCTCGAAGTCGTTTGATTATAGTTGATATGAGTATGAACAGTGATGAATTGTGTTTGAAACGTCATCCAGTAAATAATACTATTTCTTCACTGTGTGATACATCTAATAAACAAACTAATATGGAATTACTTACTACCACAGTGCCCAAGATTTACACATATATTAATGCCACACTCTATGTCAGCACATAAATGAGCAGATATGTGAGGCAGGAAGAATGGTAACATGAAAAAACATGACAGTTTACTGGTCATAGAAGATCACAGATCTACGCCCCACTGAATATGATTTTGAATCATGTCATCAATACTCTTAAGATATGGACTCTTAGAATCCTTAGGACCCTAACTACGAAGTTGCCTACACTTCTCAGCGTGACTGGCTCAATCTAAACGTCAAGGATTTCATGGAGTGATTCCATTTATTTTCTACTGGTTTGGCTACGACTCTAGCTCTTTTCCAACCTGATCCTACGTCAGCAGCTAACATTGACTGTTGTGGAAAACGATAGCTTGGTTTAAATTCCTATGAAATATTCAAAAATTATTATAACATTAAGGTTCAAATGAATCATGAAAATTTCCACGTCAAAAAAACAAAACAACATGTGTTTGCATACCACTGAGTTCGTAGAAAAAATGAAATAAATTAATCCTAGTAAATTGTGTATTTATCGTGTTCAGAGGCAAAAACCTGGCGTTCTAGTTGACTGACTGACTGATTGGTTTCAACATAGAACTTTGCACCGATGTTCAGCAGTTCGAGTCGCCACACTTCACTCAGCACACAAAGCAAGAGAAGAAAGTTAAAAGAAATGCAAAATAGAGACAGTAAACAGAGATATGAGACAAAAAGAATAGTAATAACGAAGAACAATATAGTTTCATTGGGTATTATAAGTCACAAGGAGTGGATGCATCTGAGCCATCATCGAGAACGATTTTGAGCCATATCACCGATTATCTCCAGCCCTCATTGGTGTTTACCGTCCCGAGGACCCCAACCAGGAAGTCTACATATCCCTACTTGGTTTAAACTAACTGCAGTGGATTTCATTGACTGATGAAGTCATGTTTTCGTTTGACCACCACTGGGTCTTTTCCAACGTCACCCTATGTCAGCTAACATTGCCCGTTGGTCGAGGAAAGCGATTGATGGCTAGGGATACGTAACACATGTCCTAACCATCTCAGTCGATGTAACTTCACAGCCTCGTCTATTGATTTCCCCTCCTTACCTAGCACTCGACCGGTGCCTAACCTCAATATTGTTCATCCTATTGTACCAATTCACATGGGAGATAGAACGCAGACACCTATGATCAAAGATAACTAGTGGGGCTTTTCATGTCTTCTACTCTCAATGGCCAGGTCTCGTAGCCAACCATAAAGGAGGACGGAGCAGACTGTCGAGCAGTACACACGCCCTTTGGTCGATAGCCGGACATCACGTCTACGCCGGAGACGGCGTAAACTGGCATATGCGAAACGAGCCTTTATCTGTTCTGAGATTTCTTCAGCGATCAACCCGTTGGGGCTGATACAACTTCCCATATAAGTGAAACAGTCAACGTGCTCTACCACTTCACTCCCTATTTCTAAGTTAGGAGTCAGTGTAGTCCAGTCCTGTAACATCATCTTTCTAGTTCTAGTTAAGTAGATCGAAGGCAACTACTACTACTACTACTGTGTTGCTTATGTCATTATCTGCCCTCACACGGACAATTACTGTTTGTGTTTGTGAGTCCGGTGAAAGGCTGATTTGTCTCGAGGAAGTTAATTAATATTCAAGATTAGATAGAATTTCTGCTCCCTCCTCCTCCTAAATAGTGCTGAAAAAAGAACGGAAAAATGTGTCAATAGTTTCTTACAGTTGACATCTAAATATCTAACACATTGGGAAATCGGTTTCATCATCTCAAATGTCAAACTGGATAATTTCCGTTTTCAAAGCAAAAACTGTCTAAATCACAAATAACTCTGTACTTTGTAGCACTAGTATAACATTAATCCTACCATCGCCGATCGTCTCCATATATTCTTTCTGCAGTGTTGTGTGTCATATACACCCAAAAATCCATTCCTGATTGTCACTTAATCTACCACGATTATATTTCCTTTTTATAATATATATAAGCACAGTTTCGTCCACATACAGCGTGTGCACATCGACACGCTCACCCCCCAAGTACCTGAGTCATGTTGTTCATTTTTTTCCCCTTAAGAAGTGACATTCTCTGCAGTGCCAATAAAATACTGTGAAATTACTAGATTTTAAAGTATTGGTTTTGTAGGGATTTTGTTTGATTGCATGGAGGATTTCATCATGAGCTGACATCAGTTAGAGAACCACTGGAAACTTGGGAGTACTGGACAGCTGTTTCGTCCTAGTTTGAGACTCTTTACAGTACGCACCCCTCGGGATTCGAACCCAGAACCTTCTGGTTACAAGGCGAGCTCATAGACCATTGGGCCACTGGGACCCGATCCAATGGTCCTTGAATCCCAACTTTTGGGTGCGTACTGCTGAAGAGTCCCAAACTATGACGAAGCAGCTGTCCAGTACTTCCAGGTTTTCCAGTGGTTCTCTAACTGATGTCAGCTCATGATGAAATACTCCATGCAATCAAATTACTAGATCTGGATGAAATCAGAAAAGTGATTCGTGTACAACTGCTTCTCCATAATTCCGTGTATTAACCAAGAGGCTCCTCATCTGATTGATGTTGATCTGATCAAGGTCATTGCTGTGTTGTCCATTCACTTGAGTGGGTTGCTATAGTAGTTTAGAGTAACCCGTATTGATTGATTTCTCTTGTAAAAATTAATACTTTTTCGTTTTTTCTTCTTTTCTTTCTGTAGCTCGACTCAATAATCCTGAAATCAATGTTAACAATCCAGATGAAATATTATCAGAGAGTAGATGTGTATTAAATTTAAAATATCTTCGTTATTTATGTAATCTTTATTTGATATAATCGTTTACAAATTATGTACAGTTTTTTTTTTTTAAAAAAAGTTTATTTTTATACTTTTTTATATTTTAAATAAACTATTGAGTTATAAGAGTTGAGTACTTCTCAATTTTTTTTTGCTGGGGGGGGTGTGAGAGGCAGGACTGTAGAACACTTTCTTCATGTGTTACATTGATAAACTTGAAAATATTTTTCTGTCTCGTAGTAAATTAGAAAAAAACAAGCCTTAACTGTGAAAAATAACAGTAGTATTTAATGAATTCATAAAGTTTGGTAAAAGGACTCATCAGCTGAATACTCCTTTGCAAATATAAGATTAAATACATAGAAACACATATGAACATTGTGACAACAAGTATCTCAATTTGAACATATAAACGACCTATAAGCTTTGTGAGTGATAATCTGTTAACGCCATTATTAAGTGAATAATATTCAGCCACTGGAACCCGATCACTCAATGGCTAGCCCATGAATTCTAACTTCTACCAATTCGTGATTTTAACCGCGACCATCAGCCTATGTCATTGGCGGGAAATCCATCCTAACTCCTGACTGGATGGACTTCTCACTAGAACTCCAGGGAACTCTGTCCTGTAGTCAGTCACTAGCGACCATCAGATTAATTTTCAAGAGTTGATTGGTTTTTCGAGTTTGGCTACGGATTGATATCAGTTAGAGAACAACCATTGAAAACCAGCCAGGGAGTACTGGACAGCTGTTTCATCCTAGTTTAGGAATCATCGGCAGTACACACCAAGGACTCCCTGGTTTTCAATAGTTCTCTAACTGATATCAATCCGTGCCCTAACTCGAAAAAACAAATCAACTCTTGAATAATATTCATCAAAGTACATGTTAATATATAAACTGGAGTTATTGTGGTAGATCATCGCTGTCTCCGCAGGATTGCTTGCGTTCGATGGCATCATCGCGTGAGTAATTCTGAGGTTCGGCGGCGTGTGTTTGAACACAGTGGAGATCACCATTCATTGAGTGTCGTCATCTGGAAACACCAGCTCCGGTGGCTTGGACATGTGCTGCGAATGTTATCCCAGAGGCTTCCATACAGGTCTCTGTTCGCTAGCCCTGGGACGGGATGGAAAAGGCGGAAGGGTGGTCAGTCCATGACGTGGCGTCGTGGGATGAAGGATATTTGTGCTAGATTAGCATCGGTTGGTGTGTCACGACTCCCTGGTTGGGGTCCGCGAGATAGCTCGAAACGTTATCGGATATGGCCAAGAATCGTAATCAATGGCGAACGTGTTGCAATTTCCTTCTTTCTTCCCTTCCTGATGATAGTTAACGAATACTGTTTGAACTTGTTAAGTATGACTGTTTTCCTTCCAGATGCAGTTCTTTATCCGTTCTCTACTTATATTTTTACTTTTAATCTATGTTGTTTTATTATTATTGTGTGTCGCATCTTTCTTGGTGTCATATTGTACCAAGTTTTTTCTGCGTTAAAATAAATAAATAATATTGTGGTAGATTGTAATTATCCAGACCCTAGATATTACGAATTACTTGGAATAATTTGATCGCCGAGTTAGATTAAATCATTAAAAATTATTTAAAATAATTGCAGCGTGTTTAAGAAAAAATCCAAACAAGATTTTTTTGAACGTTTTTGCTTCGTAAGCCACAACTTCTTCAGCAGAATTATTCGGATTTTATTAACCACGGTTAATGATAGTTTGAACACTACTCACCAAAATTAATATTCAACTATGAATTTTTCGATTTGCACATACCCTAAGAAAGCAAACAGTATGTCAGATAAAGTAATAATAATAATGGAAAAAACATTGTAAAGAGAATTGGGAAGGGAAGGTAAAATGAAAGTGTGCTACCAAGGTAGATTTAAGGTAACTACTGTCTTCTTTTGTATATGTAGATCCGGCTTCTTTCATCTGATTACGCAGGCTTCAGCAAAACCAAGAGCTTTTTTTTTATTACCCTGCTTATTAACAACTATGAAGCCTTTACTCAACTTTACTGTATGATCACAGTTCAGTAAATGTCGTGTGATTGAGCTCCTTAGGATGCCATCATGAGTACTAGAAAGCCATTTGAGGCAGTGTTCGGCAACGCCAGCTGAAAGACATCTCTCCGCTACAGTATTGTTCTTGGGTGATTGAAGGCAATCGGCAGGAAGTCTTCAACCTAGGTTTCGTGTCAGCAAGACTCGTCCTCATTATTGAAGAGATTAACTTCCCTTCTGAGATTTGAACTAGGGTTACCTAGTTCTGCAGTCAGGTACGTTACGACTGAGCTATTCGACCTCGTGATTGGTCTTCTGTAGGACTGTAATGTATATTTTGACTGAACACTAAGTAATAACCAATGTCATGCGTCTAGTTGTTGGTATTGGTGCAGACTGAATTCTGTCAGTCAGGATACGCCAACAAGCACGAAACCTAGTTCCAAGTCTTCGTACCGACTGACTCCAACCGTCTAATACCAAAATTTCAGAGTGCATTGTGATAGCAAGTCACAGAGCCACATTGAAAACTTGACTGTTTCAATTCAGTCATCCCCAACACCAAAGGACTAACCACTCATGACACTGGCTACTTCCTTGTGTCCAATCAAAGTACTGCTACAGTATATTTGGCTCATAATTTATTTCCCATCGGGCTACCATACTTCTAAACAATACAAAATAGGGAAATTATCATTATTGTTTCCTTTAATTCCTAGAGGAACATAGGGCTTCAGCCGTGCGTCTCCATTGCGTTCTGTTCTCCGCTAGAGTCTTCACCTGGCTCCAAGTCTGCCCACACGTTTGCATCTCTTCACATGACCTCCTCCAAGTTACCCTTGCACTGACGACCAACTCGCCGCTTCCCTTTCGGGTTCCACTCGAGCAATGGCTTGTCTAGTGATTTTACTTGATGGTTTGTTCCCTCAGAGTATGGTCAATCCATCTCCATTTCTTCCTGCCTATTTGTTTCACAATCGGTTCCTGCTGTATTGGTTCGCTCATTACCAGAGATCTCTGTTGCTGATCTTTTCTGGCCATCTGATCTAGAGTATTGAGTGAAGACAGCTGTTAATGAAGGTCTGTAGTTTGTTTGAGATGCTCTTTATGACGCCCAGTGCAAGTCTCTGATCCGTATAGTAGCACTGACTGACTTCACATTGGAGTTGAAAATCCGGATCTTATTTTTGATGCTGAGTGCTGTTGACCTCCACACAGACTTGAGAGTAGTGAAAGCTTGTCTTGCTTTTCCGATTCTTGCTTTGATATCCTCATCAGTTCCGCCTGTAGTTGAAACGATACTTCTCAGGTAGGTAGGTAAAGGAGGTTGTTTCTTTCAGGTTCCTTCCATTTATACTGGTTGTTGTCTGTTGTTGTTGCTGGTGATGTTGCCCAGGAATCTTCATCACCTCTGTCTTCTCTATGTTCACCTGAAGTCCTATCTTCTCTGGATGATTCTTCTGCCAACTTGTTGCTTTTCTCTTGCATATCTTCCAGTTTGTGGGAAATCAGACATATATCATCGGCGAAGTCAAGATCCTCCAAGTTTTTTGTGAGTCCATCTTATGCCTGTTTCCTCATTGCCCGCTGTTTGTCGCATTATCCAGTCTACTGCAATCAGGAAAATCATTGGCGATAGTAGACAGACTTGTCTTACTCCTGTCCTCACTTTGAAGGGTTCCGTAAGTTTCCCGTTGTAGATTACTTGGCATGCAGCATTGTCGTACAGCTGTTGGATGAGATGTAAAATTGTCGGTGGCACCCCATAGTAGCGTAGTAGTTTCCAAATCACCTCTCGATCAACGCTGTCGAATGCCTTTTCAATGTCGATGAAGTTGAGATAGATAGTTGACTGCCATTCCAAGCTTTGTTCAATGATGATCCGTAATGTGGCGATCTGATCAATGCATGACTTGTTTCTCCTGAATCCAGCCTGTTCCGGTTGAAGTTTTTCATCCAGAGTTTGTTTGATTCTCTTCAGGATGATGCGTCTTAGTATTTTGCTTGGGATAGAGAGGAGTATAATTCCGCACCAGGTCTTGTATTGACTTAAGTCTCCTTTCTTTGGCAGTTTGAATAAGTAGCCTTTCTTCCAATCCTCGGGTACTTTGCCTTCTTTCCACACCTTCTCCAGTAGTGGCGTCATCAAGTCCGCTGTTATCTCTGGGTCTATTTTCAATGCTTCTGCGAGGATTCCATCTGGTCCTGCTGCTTTTCCAGCTTCTAGCATCTTGATTACCTTCAGGACTTCTGATTTCGTTCGGGGGTTGATGTTCACTGGTAGCTCTGTCTCCGTTGTTGATACTGTTGGGCGCGTTGTAGGTGGTGGTCGATTTAGGAGTCTTTTGAAATTTTCAGCCCAGTGTTTCCTTTACTCCACTTCTTTGGTGAGTGACTTTCCATTGTCATCCTTCACTGGCTTGATTTGTGTCAAACGTTTGCCCGATATGTACCTAGTTGTTCGGTAGAGTGTTGCTAGGTCTCCTTTGCCTGCAGCTTGTTCTGCTTCACTTGCCACGGTTTCATAATACTTTCTTTTCTTCTTTACTCTTTTGTTCAGTGTCTTGTAGTTTGCATTCAAATCCTGTTTTTGTTTCTCGTCGGTGCACTGGAAAATCTTTTGTTTCACCATCCCTCTCCATACATACAGCATACACCATACCGCATAATTCTGCAATGGTCAAATACGTTTTTTAGTGATGCGTAGCTGAACATACAGTTCATTAACACTCAGGATTTTGGAGATAATATTTGAGTGAATATATCCTCCACTCACTTTCTTTTGCCCTGTTGAGATTTATTCTTATGGCTGTTCACAAATTCTCTGCATTTCCACTGTTATTACTCCCTTAGGTTCCGAGTGGAACATAAGGGCTTCAGCAGCATATCTCCATTTCATCCTGTCCTCTGCATTCCTCTTTAGCTGGCTCCACGACTACCTATAAGCTCCCGTCCCCTCCATGTCACCCTCGGACCAATGTCCAACTCGTCGTTTCCCATTCCAGTTCCACTCGAGATT